AAAAAATATAACGTTGGTCCAAGGTAGGCCTTTTAGTACTTGACATTTCAAAAAAAAATTATTAAAATCGGTTTACAATTTCAAATTTTAGTGGGATGTTTCCATTAAAAATGGGTGAGATGTAGTGGTGAGAACATGGTCGAAAAGGTCTGTGATGTTCCCTGAGAAAATTACAAAACAAAACTCCTAATTTAGTACTCCTGTTGAATAAATCATTTTTACTGAAATTATACATGAATTTTATGATCCAATATACTCTAGGATCTCATGGAGCTAATTTGTGGCTAAGAAATGCTAGGGGCGATCTTCCTCTACACGACGCTGCTGCTTCTGGAAGAAGAGAATTGGTGAAGTGGCTTCTGGAGATGAGACCCAGTCACGTCAATGCTAGAAATAACGATGGTAGATGTCCTTTGCATATGGCTGCTCTGAACGACAATTCCGATATGTGCAAGGTATCAGTGATAATTAACTTATTCATCTATTTATCTTATGTACACACAGACCAAATTCAATCCAATATTCAGATTCCTATCTAAATTTCCCAGGAACCAACCTAATCTAATACATATATAGATAAAAAGGTAACGAAAACACATATTTTGGACATAGACGATAATATAATGCAATTAAATGCAGGTAATGTTTGAAAACGGGCAATAAACAAATCTAAAAAAATGAACTTTAAATGTTCAAGCCCGTCTCGGATACACCTACACAGTAGGTTGAATGGATCAGAAAACAACTACTCCACTGGCTGATACCACGAACGGCGTTGGATTATATCCGACAGGCGTCAGTGCAGGAATCCTCACAGAAAATTTCCTGCATACGCAATTGACAATACAACTGAAAGAGTCGACCTTCAATTTTGGAACGGGCACACTTGCAGACCTGTTTCCGGCTCTTTAGCCACTCAGTGCAAGATAGTGTACGTACGATTGCCGACTCAGCCAAAAAATTATTTAGTGATCCATGAAATATGCAAACATATAATGTTATGAATCATACTCATTTCATTTTCCCTTCTATTCCTTTCTTCTTATTTCCTACAATGCGATCGATAAACATAAAGAGTTCCAAAGTAAACTCACTGAAAAGCATGTCATTCCATCAAAGTTTGTTTATTGAATGATAAAATAGATACGAACTTTCTTCAAGGTATTTAATTAAACTTTCAATGATTTGCTTTACGTGTTCAGTCGAATCACCTACCTAAATAATTCAGAACTTTAGATCACTCACTCGCCCAATAAAGCTCATGAAAATAATGAATATTAACTCATTTCAGGGACCAGAGGAAACTTTCATGGTTGTTCTTTGTGAGAAAGCTTAAAATTATTTCCACGTGATTCATTTCAGAGAAATTGTACTATTTTAACAAAAATAGTTTATTTGTCAAATAACTCACCATTTATTGGTGGAAAATTAATCTATGATAAACACTTTTTCCACACTAGAACAAAAATACGGGTTCTCGACGCGCGTTTCGCTAACCAAGTTAGCATCATCAGGAGATGAATAGGACTGATTCTTACGGAGATGTTGATGTTTTTATATACATCTGGACGAATCATTACGTTTAATACTGAGGGTCATCAAATTGATTTCTAGTGTTTTGTTATTGTTTCTAATATTGTTTGCTACACGACAATAATTTTTCCGACGCTTTAGCAAATTTAGGAATCGAAATATATGAAATCCTGCGAAAAAGGCAAATTCTCGATATTTTGCTTCGCGTTGATGATACCAAAATAAGTTATCAAAATCAGTTTGGACCCACTAGCAATAATCTTATTTCACCTTATTTGACAGACTATAAGAAAGTACTGTACTATTAAGTTTACGCAATTAATTCAAGTTGACTGTCATTTACTTAGAAATATTGTAAAGTGAATTACTAATTGCGACTAATTAAAAAAATACTGAGATTAAGTTAAGAAAAGCTGAGGTTTTGATGGTAACGTTTTTTCAGAAATCATCAATTTCAAATTCGTTCAACTGAAATATCTTTTCATTCCGCAGATTCTTCTTGATGCTGGTGCCCAAATCAACCCAGTCCTTCGAACCTCCAAAAATATCTTCATGACTCCGTTGGACTGTGCACTTCAAAGAGGATTCAGATCCACCGCCAAGTATTTGCAGCTACAGGGGGGAGTCCCAGCAACACGCCTGCGGGACCCAAGAATTCAGCCTGTCAACCCTGCCTTGAATTTGCAGATTCGAGATGACATTAATCTCTGGGGAGGTACTAGTTCGGACAGCGAAAGGGAAAACGGTGAAGTCAGCCAAAGTAGCAAGAAAGTACTGAGGAAAAAACTGTCTTATAAGCATGGGAGGCGAAAGCTGTCTTTATCAGGGAGCGAGGTGGAATCTGTAAAGGAAAAACACAGCAATAATGAAAAATCAAAAGAAAAATCCAGTAGCAGAGGTAGCTATAAAAAATCCTCTTCGAGAGAAGAAAGTGCACCATCCCACAGGAGTGACTCAAAAAAATTATCATCAAGTAGATTGGATTACACAAACGAAATAATAATCAACGGTAAAACAGAAATAAATATACGACAGACCGAAGAAATTGTGATTGACAAAAATAACGAAACCGCAGATGTGACCAACCAAAGAACAGTTTCCACAAAGGTAACAGAAAGAGACCGAAGACCAAAGAGTGCAAAATACAGTAGAGTCAGAGATAAGTCAGCTAGAAAAGCTATAGACAAGGAAACGCTCATTGATGAAGCAACCAGTCCTGAAACAGTTATCCAGCAAGATGAAGCTAGGAGACTGTCTCTCAAAGATCAGAGCACAAATACTTCAGAGGAGAAGATCGTAGAAAATAAAAAGTTTGCTGCAGTTCAAACAACGATATCTGAAGAGGAAGCTACTCCAGTAGTGAAAAAGAGTCATCAGCCGACTATGGTTGACCAACATTCCGTGAGGTCTTATACCAGCGAAGAAACAGAAGAACAGAAAAAAGAGTTAATTGTGGAAGCTTCTGTACATGCCCCTCCCAAATCGCTAGAAACAATACCGGTCCAGGAACAACTCATTCAGGAAGTAAAAAGCGACCCCGAAGCTATTTCTAATTCAAATTTTGTTGTAGTTATTGAAGAACCCACTCAAAATTCAGTGAATAACGAAGTTGAAACTGTCGAGATCCGGAATATTGCTGAAAGAGCTGACGATGCTGATAAAAAAGAACATTCCGAACAAGAAAATGTTGAGGATGGCTCAATTCTCATCGAAGAACAGAAAGAGACTGAAGAACAAGCAGTAAGTGGTTCGAAACTAGATATACCTTCTGATGACGGTGAACTGAGAGAAAGCAATAGCGCTGTGGTGGAGAAGGAAGACATTTCCCAAGAAATTGGAAAAATAGGTAATTATATTACTGAACCAGATGTTACTGAGTCGGTTCAAGTTGAACAAGTTGATAATGCAGCTGAACTGGAACAAAATGAAGTTATTCCCGAAGAAAAGAAAGTTGAATCTGGAAATGCACCTCCGGATTTCACAGAAGACCGCGGAGATGCAGTTGAAGGAAATGAGCAGAATCCAGAAGTTCATTTTGGAGAACAGATAAATAGTATTGAGCAAGAGGATGGTCCCAAAGAAACTCAAGCAGTAACTGATGATAAGCACTTAGAAAACGATACGGATCAAGCAGCAAGTGGAAACGGAGAAACTATTTTGGTCAATGACAAATTGGATACTGAAGAAGATGCTGCTTCACTTGATGACAAAGAAAACGATGTACTGAAGAAAACCCAAAGAGGGGAAGGAGAAATGAAAAGAGCCATTGAACGGAATGGGGTAACGATAGAGTCAAAAAAAAGTTCGATAAGAGTTAAAATGAAAGACAAAAATCTTGAAGGAGATGAGGCGGAAGAAGAACAACCTAAGACTGAAAAAAGTGATTTGAAGAGGCGCAAGGTTCTGAAAAATGACGAGCAGCGTATGATTGATAGGCAGCAACTTTCTAGTAGTCTATCAGATGATGATGCAGTAAGTGCTAATGATAGGAATCATAAGAGTTTTCGAATACTGGACGACAAAGAGGCTGCTCAACTCGAAAAATGCAAAGAGAAAAGCTTTAGAGCTAGAAAAAGTCCAACGGCTGAAGTGAAATTGCGTCCTCAAAAGCCGAAAGCTGTTGGTAAAGGAAGAGAAAAAGTTAAAAAGAGTAAAATACCCACACCTCTATCCAAAAGTACCTTATCAAAAAGCGACAGACACTTGAACGAAATAAGAAGGGATCCAGAAATAGATCATCGTGTCCCGTCATTGCCAAATATTACCGACGTTAAACACCGTCTAGATGAGCCTCCTAGATGTGATTCGAATATGTCAGCTCCTCTTCTCAAATCTGTTTATAGCGATAATGAGAGAGACAGTTTTTCGGAGGGAGACGAGCCTAGGATCGTGACGAAAAACAAAAGGAGAGTGAAAAAAAGGACCAAAACCAGAGAGTCTAGAAGTGCTGGCAGTGACTACGAAAGTAGTAACTTGATTGATTCCGGGTTTGAGCCGAGTCCGAGAAGTACCAGAATACCTAAGTGGAAGAATATGTCGGAGAGAGGGGTGAACATGACCTCTGTGACTCAAAATATTCAGAATAATATCAGGAGGTAGGTAATGTTGAATCTAATGCTATTGAAAATTGATTTTTTGCTTGTAACTGAATCAATATGAGTAGAATCCTCAAAAAATGTGCAAGGTTAGCGTGGTTCTTGCTCTAGAAAGTTCCAAAATAGTACAGAACAATTAAGATTGTTCTAGAGTATTTTATAATATTCCAAAATATTTCACAACATTCCAGAATATCTTAGCTAGTTATTACATCGAAGATGTCATAACCAACTTCTTCGATTTGGAAGATTAATCGCAAGTTATTTCCCTCTATGTTGTTTTTTCCATTGGGTGCTTCTGAACCTGGAGCATGTCATATGCACCTCTCCGAAATATTAATTATTATTCCGACTTTCACCCCGGACTATGTGTTTGTGGAGTTGTTTCCTGGCTCTGTCTGCAGGTGGCGCAATGGACAACCCACTGAATCAACTGCAGAAAGAGTTCATGACTAACTGGAATTATATTTGTTTGGTCGTGATGATCAGTCAAAAGGGTAAGGGAGCTGGGCTCCAACCTGAAAGAAACCAAGACGATGTGCAGGTTCGGTCGTGATACTCAGACGGTTCACACCGTTCAGTAACATGCCCGGTACTGACCAAATGACCAAATGAAAGTCATTTCTGCTTTTCTCAGTGGAAACAACTTGAGACAACTCTTCCAAATCGAAGACGTTGCACAGGTGCCTGATGGTTACACAAACTCTCTGTGTGGCATTGGCTGGGCTAGTTGTTGTTTTTCCGTTGAGTGTCTGCCACACGTACCTACACGTACAGAACAATGTTGTTTTATTAGCCAAATTTTTTTGATTTCTATAGATTCCAATATATTTAATTTCAGACTTTTTGGTTGAATGTGAAGAATTTCCGGATTTTGTGTGAAATTGTGAATGTTTTCTATGAGATAATTGGGGTAGTTGGAATTTTGTTTATGCAATCTGAAACTCCCCAAATGCTCTTCGAATCTCTGCTTGAAACTGCAGCCAGTCTGACCTTAATGGAAACAAAATGTTTGAATACAGATATCACCTTGAGCGGAAGATATTTCAACAACTCCTGGAACTGAAGCGCCACCAGATTCGAGCCGGTCAACACAACGAGGCTGTTCTAGTGAAAAGAGCAGTAGACACATACCATCAATCCTGCGCTTCAACTGTCGGGGCAGGACGATACATTGCAGAAGATTACACCTTTAAGAGCTTCGAGAAGTTTCTTTACGAAGCTCTCCGGAAGCTTCAGAGAAATGGCGCTGATCATTTGCGCGGGCTACCAGAGACTCAATCGAATCCCTTGCTATGTACGAGGAGTACTAATAAGTGTATGCATGCGGTGCATGCATATACAGGGGTTCCTTGTGCAGCGTACTGTAAGTATTTCATTTCAGTTGTGAATTATTGCATTGTTGCAGAATAATATTCTAGTGAAAATCACAAAGAATTCTAAAGCTCTGAGATATGTGGGGAAAAGAGACCATGACACAATCAATTGATTCTCCGTTCTTCTCTACTGAATGAAAAATGGAATTATTTCTCTTTCAAAAATGAAACATCAAATTATATGTACAATAAAAAGGATTACATCAATTTGTATACATAATATCTTTTCATGCGGCCATTCAGCTGTCGGCACGATTCCTTACACCTTAGCTTGGGTAGGCTGGTCCACGGTGGCATGTTTCGCAAAGGCTTCTGGGGAGTTTTGGTTCCCCTCACCCTATTTATTTCTGCAACTGACCAGGAGTACGACGACCCCGTCCGTAAGGCCACATTGGCTTCCTGGACAGGGCTTCCTGTTCCCTGGCCGTTACCTGGGGACGCGCCCGATAGGTAGCCCAACCTATGAGAATCTAGAGGTATGGGTCCGGACATCTTTGTGGACATTTTGTACTTCTCCTACGACTTATCGTATTGTGCAAAAAATGATTACACGATTTACAAACATTTCTTGATTGTCTAATGAAATTTGCCCCATTCCAGGTTCAATTTCAGTTGCTGAAAGGTTTCTGTAAAAATCTCCTGAAGTCTTCCCTCTGCTCAAAATCCGTCCAACGAAGTGATTGTCAAAATTCCCACTCATTGATTTATTTTTCTGGAAGCTGGATGTGATCCTCTCAGTCGCATAGCAAATACCTGACAGTTTTATCTTCCTATTCACACATCCTGCATAGAGGTGTCTCCACTATCCCCATATTATAGATAATGGTTAGTCAGAAATCCTACTGTTGAGCGTATATTTTTCCTGGTCATCACCAAATATTTCTTCGGCGCCACCTTCCCAGGGTCGCCTAGGGTGATCCTGACAAGTTTGCATCCTTTGATTCCATCCCATCTCTTTAGGGATTGAGCATGAGTGTGACGTTTGGTTAGTTCCGCAATTGTCAAATTGTCATCAGGCCGTAGGTACCACTGGGTGCTAAAATTCTTAGTTCAGCCGCTTTCTTGGCTTAAGAGTCGGCAATGCGATTACTTTTACTCATGTCTTGTCCTTTAACCCATCTCAGGATAATGTTATTATCTACCGAGGCTTTGGCTGAATCTTGGTGGCACTCTAGAACTATCCCTGAGATAACAGATGGCATGGGTTATGTTGGCTTTGAGGATCTCAGTAGTTCGTGGCTCATTCGCATACACCTGCGACTTGAGAAAACCACACATGAAAAAGTCTAACGGAGTCAAATCGCACAATCTCGGTGACCAATTCACATCACCTCCACGTGGGATGAACATGCCCTCAAATCGTTTGTGCAGAATATCCAATGTGGCATTAGCCTGTGTGCGCCGTCCTGTTGAAACCACATGTCGTTGGTGTCCACTTCATTCAACTCAGGCCAAAATGAGTTGGTAACCATCGACCTATAGTGCCCGCCGTTGAATGTGATAGCCTGGTCAACGTCGTTCTCAAAGAAATATGGACCGATGACGCCGCCAGCCAAAAATCCACACCGAACAGTAACTTTTACGGGATGCATTGGACGTTTTTGGATCTCAAGTGAATTGATATTGTCTTTAGTTTGATAATGTTGTTCGTCAACGTACCCATTCTTTCACAAAAGAGCCTCATCCCTGAAAATGATTTTTCGATGAAAATCAGGGTCAGTTGCCAACTGATCCAGAGCCCATTCAGCAAACACACGTCGTTGTCTAAGGTTGTTTTACTTCAGTTTCTGGGTCAGTTGAATTTTGTACGGGCTCCAGATCCAAGTTACGATACAAAATTCGCCAAGTTGTGGTCTGCAAAAGGCCGAGTTCTTGTGGGCGACGCGGAATCGACAAGGCTTCTCTTGCACACTCTCACAGACAGCGGCGATGTTTTCGGCAGAAATTACGTTTCGTCGACATATGGGTGTTAGTCGATAGTTTACTAAACCAGTGGACGATTATGGCGTCCGTTAATGGGCGGAGCGCACGGTACGTTGCCCTATTTTGATAAAACAATTTTATTATTTTCACGTGTTGTTCAGTGCTATATTCGTCCATGGTGAATTTGGCAAAACGGACTGAATAAATACAAATAATTATGATTTGACAGATGTAGCTTCACTAAGATGACCGTTATCAACTGTCAAAGCTCGGAAGTCCCTATTGTTCATTTGAATGTTCCTATGAAAGTAATGTTTTATTTTGTGTTTCCTCATTCTTCTCTTGTATATTAATCGAATTTCAAAATTTGCTAAAGTAAACTGTTTTAGAAATACTGACTTCTGAAAAATAGTGTTTTCGTCATTTCAAACTCAACCGAAAACTCCGATATTGCTCTCATAACAAATAAGATGGTTGAAAAACTAATTTTTTTTATATATAATGAAATTGGTCGATACTTGAAAAAAATCCATAGCTAACGTATTCAAAAAACACTTTATTGTGAACGTTTTTTGAATACGTTAATTTTTTTTGAACGAAAACTATCACCAAATTCTTCTCTTACATTGGTGATAGTCTGGTCATCTACATCTTCAAATGCTTCTCTCACTATGCCTTCCAAACCTTCAATTGTGACGTAGATTTTCGAATTCAAATATCATCGGAAGACAACATCTAGAGGTATCTCTCTGTATCTGTAGAGTAGGGAGAGTGAGTGAAGTCCCACATGTGACCCATCGTACATCCTCCCGAGGAGTTGTCCTCCTAGGTCATCGTCCATTCTGTCCTTTTCAGGAAGATGAACAGGTCATAGGAGACATCTCCTTTATATCATCAGGTGTAGACTAAGACTTACAGAACACACACTCTCATTGGCAATCTTGAGTTGTCTCATGGCGGCCTACGTGAAGGTTTTGGAAGGTGCAGCGACATTACTGTCGTTGCGCGGCTTCTTTAACGTTCTTGGGGTTTCCTCCATGAAGGTGCTTCAGTAAGGGCGCTTTCCTGCAGGGGTAGCCGGTTTCTTGCATTTATTCAAGGCGGAGCTCTTGGTACCCGCCGCAGGAAGTGCCCTTGCTGTTGGAGATGGAGTGGGAGAGGAAGAGGGTGCACTTATAGTTGCTGCCACTCCTGCCTCTATCGCTCACTTTCTCCTTTTGGCCTCGGCGCCGCAAATGCGCTTACGCCTTGGCCTTTGTATTACATCACGAGGGGATCTGCCATGTCCAGCCTCATTCCGAGTGGTGGATTGGGGTGGACATTTCTGTTCATCCCCAGTCATCGCCATAGATTGAGGTGAGCATTTCCGTCCAGCCTCGGGATTTGTTTTTGTTTTTTCTGTGTCTGTTTTTGTGTTTCTCTCATTCATGTGTGTTCCCACAAGTAGCAGGGGAAGAGTTGGTTACTCTGGCAGAGCCCCGCATTACCAGAGGAAGGCTGATTACAATGAGCTTTCGCTCGGTTCCCCACTAGGATCGTTCGTAACCGCATATCACCTTGCGGCCATTCAGCTGTCGGCACGATTCCTTACACCTTAGCTTGGGTAGGCTGGTCCACGGTGGCATGTTTACTGAAAAGTTGCCCTTTTCTGAACTTTGAAGGGCCGTAACTTTTTAAATAAGGGAGAGCGCCGCTTTTTTTTTCGGATTCGTAATCTACGCATCAAAATACGTAAGTACAGTCAAACATTTTTTCAAAATCACCGGGTGTTCACAAAACGAAAATTTACCGAAAAAGTCTATCGGAGTCAAATCGCAGGATCTCGGTGACCCATTCACATTACTTCCTTGTGAGGTAATGCAGAATATCCAATGTGGCATTAGCTGTGCGGCATGTAGCGACGTCCTATTGAAACCACATGTTGTTGGTATCCAGATCATTCAGTTCAGACTGAAATAAGTTGGTAATCATCGCCGTTGAATGTGATGGCCTAGCCAATGTCGTTGTCAAAATCAAAACCAGCCCAAAATCAACACCAAACAGTGACTTTTACGAGATTTCATGTGGACTGATACCGTCTCAAATTCGATAATTTTGTTTGAACACGTACCAATTCTTCAGAAAAGGGCCTCATCTCTGAAAATGATTTTTCGATGGAAATTAGTGTCAGTTGCCAACTGATCCAGAGCCCATTCAGCTAACACACGTCGTTGTCTAAGGTCGTTTTACTTCAGTTTCTGGGTCAGTTGAATTTTGTACAGGCTCAGGTCCAAGTTACGACACAAAATTTAGTTGTGGTGTGTGGGCGACGCGAAATTTACAGCCTTGGATTCTCTTGCACACTCTCACAGATAGCGGCGATGTTTTCGGCAGAAATTACGTTTCGTCAACGTATGGGTGTTAGTCGATAGTTTACTGAACCAGTGGACTCAATTAAATTCATTCACCACACTGTGGATAGTCCTGTCCGTAGGACGATTATGACGACCGTTAATGGGCGGAGCGCACGGTACGTTGCCCTATTTTGATAAAACTATTTTATTTTTGCACGTGTTGTTGAGTGCTATATTCGTCCTTGGTGATTCGGCAGAACGGACTGAAAAAATACAACTAATTATTTGACAGAGGTAGCTTCACTAAGATGGCCATTATCAACTGTCAAAGTTCGGAAGTCCCTTTCATTTAGGAATCCTCTTTCTCCATCAGTTCCTTTGAATGTAATGTTTTATTTTGTGTTCCCTCATTGCATTGCATAAAGAATATTAGTTTATCATTAAAATCTATTGAAATCTTAGAAATGATAATATTGATAAAAAATGAGAAATGAAAATTTCTAGTTTCTAGAAATTTCTAGAAATTGTATTTTCTCACTTCTCAAGATAATCTTCTACCACATTGTAACGGCTACATCCATCAATTTATAAATAATGAATGAAATGAAATTTTATTTGGCATATTTCGATTTTATGTTGATACCCTATTGCGTGTAAATATGGATTTAGATTGAGAAAGTTACCCCATCTAGACAGGCTAGTCTTTCACCAATAGATCCAAATGTGTACCTCATTGTGAGTAAATCGTTAACACGTGTTCCGGGCTAGATGACCCACATTATAACAATATTTTCCATACAATCTTTTATGAACTTTATTTAGTTATGCTTTTTTTAATGACACCCTCTCCTTCTCGCACAAATGATAATCAAATGATAATGCAATTCTTAACATGTTGAGATGTATCAAACAGTTTCTCATTGCCATGGTTACCCAACTAGAAACGGAGACCTCATCAGAATTCCTGCAAACAGCTCATCATTTTATGAAAAAAGCCCCTCATGTAGAGGTATACAGTTTTTCAATCATCTTCTCGCAAACCTGAGTGAGCAACGGAATAAAAACTTCTTCAAATCAGAATTGAAAGTATATTTGCAAGACAAGTGTTACTATAGTATCTAAGAATTTCTTGATGCAAAATGAAAATGTGTTTGCTCATACGTATGCTCATATGTATAAATGTTATACATATTTTCATGTATATGTGAACAAATCTATTGAATTGTGATATTTTAATATTTTTGATTGTAAATTTGTCTATCATCACACGGTTTTTTTATTTGTGGCGTATGTATCATGTATATATCATGCTGTATGTGATCTGTACGGATTGAATAAAGATTATTATTATTATTAAGTTACCTGGTGAATATCAATTACTTTTGGTTACTGTTTACAGTGCCCAAGATGGACCACCATTCCATTCCCAAAATAGGCTTCAACTCGGTGAATTGCAAACCTGGAACGGGATTTCTACCGACGATAAACCCGAAGAAAGCTGTCACTTTGGAACTTAGCCATGGAACCGACAAACAAGTAATTTCACTGCCCACGGATCGTCTGGAACAAAACAAACGCTATTACGTTACGTTTACGGTGAAGGGACATGATGCGTCTCCTCCTGAACTAGAAAATAGTGGTAATGGTGCAGCACATAGACATTCCAAGAGTGACTGAAGTTCAATGTGTTTCAACTTGTGCAAAAACCGAAGTAGAAGAAGATTTGTAAAAAAATGTGATTCTGTGTTCATAACAACCGACGTTAATAAAATCAATTCTGAAGCATTTGTGGACACAGTATTTATCGCACATTATCAAACCGGTTTAATGAAGCTAAATTTATTTTCTGGAAACCAGATCATCATTACGGAACCAGAATTTCCTGATGTGTCAGAAAGTGAATTTTATTTTGGAATGATGCCTAGTTATATGAGATGAGACCTTGCAGTCTGCCATACTTTATAAGAAATAGGCAAAACGTGGATGAAATTACTTAGGATAATTAAATATTCTGCCTTTCAGTAGAACCTATGTAAGAAATGACTCCTTGAAAACTACCAATACATTTAAAAATGTTACAATTGAAGGTTACAATCGAATTAACAGTGTTTGATTTCATTTGAGAAAGAGTGAAATAGGTTTTTCTGGGGCTACTACATTTTCATTTCTTTTTCCTGAATATATGACGTCACTATGTCGGTCGGTCAGTAGCCAAGCGGTTCGGCGTGGGTGCTTTGTTCACTCACTCGAATTGACTGCCGTGTTGGTCGGTGGTTCAAGCCCTAGTCTGAACGATCGATCTTCACTTGCTATCGTCCAACCCGTACTAGGAATCACACGTTAAAAGGTAAGACCTCGTTAATCCCTAGCTCGCACAAGTTTCGACTTCTGAGGGTTGTCGTTCGTAGGGGTGCGACAGCTGGTTGACGGAAAAACAGATTTTAAAACAGATATGTATCTGTACAGTAGGTAGGGTGAGTGTAAACCCTCAGCACTTAGACCACATGTGACCCATTGTACATCCTCACGAGGATTTGTCCTCCTAGGTCATCGTCCATCCTGTCTTTTACAGGAAGGTGGACATGTCACTGGGAGACATCTCTTTTATATCGTCAAGTGTAGTCCAAGACTCGCCGAACACACACTCTCTTATTGACGTATAGGTGTGTCCACTAGCCCCATATTATGGAGGTGTCTACTCAGTTGATAGTGTTCAGTCAGAAATCCTACTTTTAAGCGTAGATTTTTCCTGGTCATCAGCAGATATTTCTTCGGCGCCAACTTCCCAGGATCGCATAAGTTGATCCTAGTAAGATTGTATCCTTTGATTCCCCCCATTTCTTTAGGAATGGAGCATGGGTGTAACATTTGGCTGGTTCCATAATTGTCGAAGTTATCAGGCTATAGGTCCCACTGGGTCCTAAAATTCTTAGTCCAGCCGCTTCCTTGGCTAAAGAGTCGGCAATGCGATTACCTTTACTCCTGTCGTGTCCTTAAACCCACCCCAGGATAATGTTATCATCTACCGAGGCTTTGGCTGAATCTTGGTGACACTCTAGTACGAGCCCTGAGGTTACACGTTGTCTGTTCAAGGCTAGTAGGGCTTGTCTGCTGTCAGTGCAGACTGATATGTTTTTGCCAGAAGTTCCTTTCTTGGTTATTTCTTTTGTGGCGATTGAGATACCAGCCAGTTCTGTTTGGACCACGCTGGTATTTTTTCCCATTCCCCAGTCAATCCTTAGGCTCAGTGATCTGGAATACACTCCACATCCTTAGCCTTCTTTGGCTTTTGAGTCGTCTGTATATATGCGTATTGCATTTGTAGCGTCTGACTCTGTGTTCTATTTTATTTGTATTTTGTTGGGTTTATTAAACACAAACCTGGGTTCAATTACATCACTGGTTGCCTGCAGAAGACGTTACGCAGCAAGTGCTTCTCGCTACATGCCCAGCCTCAATTGACCCATTCCTACTTCGAGGTTTACACCAGCTGTGAACAATCCTACCATGGCCATTAACGCAACCTCCTTAACGTACAGGTCCATAGGGGTCAGACCCCATGGCGTCACTAATACGATCATGGAAATAATATGGTGCTAAAAATAAAATACATCTATCGTCACACAGATGGCGTTGCTAGTATTGAATAAATATGATTTTTAGTTGACCCTAACCTTCAGAAGATACGTGTATGCAGCTATTGGACTATAATTTTGTGAGACAGAACATTTTGAATGAAGCATTTTTTGTTAGTCTCAAAAAATTGGATGAAAGAAATGTTGTGTCCTACTAAAGCATTGCTTTTTGGCTAAAAAATGTCTGTGATGCACTGTTTGGAAACTTTGGTGTGATAATGAATATTACTGGAGTTCTATCCCAACACCAAACTGTTATTTTTAACACCTCGACACGTGTTTCAATCACCAAGTGATCATCTTCAGGAGAAAGGTTGAACTAAGTCTACATACAATATTGGCCTCATTTATAACAAAGGTACCTATGCTAGGTAACTGTGTCATGAATGTCTCAAAATTAATTTCAGAATGTTGCTTCATCTACTAATCAGGTGAATCTGATAACTGAAAACACTATTTTAACAAGCCAAATAGTAAACTATCAGATATTGGTCCATCATCGTTATTCATAATATTACTCTGTTGACTTATTACTAAGCTCTCATAGGCATCTAGATGCCTGTTTCGTATCCCCCAATGCCACCTCCCGGTTTGAGTGCCCTGAAGTAGAAACTTCACCCCACAAAATAGATTTTGCGAGGAAAACTTAATACTCCACTTCATCCACCCCCGCTTTTCGAGCGGTCCTGAACTTACTTAGTACATATTATTTCTCTCGTGTAACTTGATGTTTATATGAAAGTAGTTGTTTCGAGAGGGGTTTTTCTTCCAGTTTGTGTATGAAAATTACTTCTTTGCATGATTTACACATCTTTGTGAAGAGTCCATCTTGAAATTATTTGCTTCCTTCCTTCCATTTATTTTGTATAAAAATGGAGAAGTAGAGAGCCATAACCTTTTTTCATAATTTCCAGGTCTTATTATATACTCAAATATTTTCGATAGGTAGTGATATTTTTGATAATTTTCTCTAGAGTGTGAACTCTGCCAATTCGGTTGTTGATTAAGATAAGTTACATCTCGAAAAAGAAATGGAATAAGTATAGTAATATAATTGCACTAGTAATGGGAGATATATTGATGGGTGTCTAAAAAAAACCAACCAAACGGGAATAACCAATGAAAACGATAATCATGATCGATCGAACGCTAAATAAACATTGATTTATTTTGTCATTTGTGTGAAAATTATGGGAAAAATACTATTATAAATATAATTAGTGATCATGTTAGTTCCAAATGAAATAATTGTTGTACAGGTGTGTTGAAAGAATTAAAATTATTTTTATTCATAGTTTTGATTTTTGAAATTTCCCAGAAACGTATCATGACCATCAACAAATTTCAGTTAACCGTACGTGTTATATTTTTTGTGCAAAATCACAATGAAATAAAAAGAGAACAGCCGGTATCGTGGAAAAACAATTCATGGCTTTTGCATGACGATAATGTACCTGCTCCCTCGTCATTGCTTGTTTGTAATTTTTTAACCAAAAATAACACCGTAATCATGCCTCAGCCACCGTATTCACCAGATTTGGCCCCCTGTTCCCACGGAAGAACGGTGTTATGCGAATTTGAGGAGAAAAAATCTCATTGAATAAGTTCAAAGATATACCAAAAGTACTAATTAGACCTGCTTGGAGGATAGGAGAAACTCTGGCATAAGTATATAATATCTCTGAGGGGGACTACTTTGAAGGGGACAAAATAGAAACTGATGAATGAATGAATATTTTTTGAGAAAATTAAAAAAAAACACCAAATTTTTTGCTCAGAGGGCGTATACAATTGAAATAAAAATTTTAATTTGTATAGTTACTTTGGCATACTATTATTATTATTATTTCAACCGTAGTGTGCGCTGGTCAGGCCCTATCCCCGGAGCCCCGATACATTCAAGAGGGCGCGCCAGCATTATCAACCAATGACCACTCCACACACCGTGAGGTGAGTGATCATTGNAGAGTTATTCTAAAAGTTTACCGAGTGAACAAGCCAAGGAAAAGTCTCAGCAACAAAATCCCAATCTGTGAGTATAATTTAGATTTCACAAATTTCAAACTGAGCGAAGAGGGAAAAGATTGTGTGAAGTGATATTGAAGCTTGAGTCAAAGTTGTATTTTTGAGTGAACGTAAAAACATGGAATCATGTGAGAATCATTCAAACTTTAACGTTTCATTCACCACTGAATGGGTAATATTTCACACTCAAGTTCAGAACAGAACTTTTTGTTGATTCAACAGTGCTTCCAGAATATTTCTTATAAATACGTTCTATCACACTTCACAACTTGGAATTGATTGGCTTGATCATGTGCATTCTATCCCAGAACTCCATAGCTTTCCGTTCGGGATGATCTGGTAGAATTTTCAGTTCTTCTCCAATATCAAGAACTTGGAATGAATTTGCGGTGATAGGAGACCATTTCACCGGCAGCAATGGGTCGTCATTCGTTGGGGTTGGATTCCCATACTTGGCAAAGTTCGCCCAGAGCTTAACCATTCTAAGAATTCCTACCAGTTCAGCACTGCCGGGTTCGATATCTGGAGTGAAGAAGCTCTTGAAAAGGTATGCGATGTCTTCCGCATGACAAACACCTGTGAAGGAAATGCAATAATAGTAATTGATTTTTTGGTTTCAGAATATCAAAAATGTTTGTAAAATTGAAAATTAGCCGATATTTGACAAAAGGCGATATCAAAACTTACTATCAGGTTGCTTCAAAAGTTTAGTCCGTTTATACGAGTCTACTTTAACCTATAATATCTTAGTGAATACTCATTCTATTCAATCTAAATAAGCGTTTGAGTCAGTGCATTTTTACCAATGTATCACAAGTCAATTGATTCCGTCAGCATGGAATTTGGGTGTTCAGGATGTGATGAAGTTGACGAGGGTGGTTTTGGCTAAATCATGATTGGCGAGAGGTCTGGAGAGTATGGTGGGTGAGGCAAAACTTCGACGCTTAATTACTTTATTTTTCGGTTCAAGATTCGTGAAAGGTGCGAATGGATATTGTGATGGAGCAGGATCGGATCCTTTTGTTGATCAGTGCCGGCTGCCGCTGATGCAGCTGATGGTGATCAGTGCCAGGTGATGATGCAGCGATCGGAATTGGTCACCAGTGCCTACAATAAGACTGCGATGGTTTGGCCCGGTTGCAGAAAGTTATAGTGAATTATACCAGTCGCTGACCACCATAGAGTAACCATGTTCTTTTATGGTGTATATTCGCTTTCGGAAAGTGCCTGTGTGGCTCATCGGTATCCAACCACCGCCCTGAGACTCTCCTAATGTCGTAGAGGATCCACTTTCCATCACATTTGATGATCCTATCTAAAAATATCGTTTTGGTTGCACAAAAGACCGGAAGAACAGTCCTTGAAACATGAACATTTCTCTCAATCATTCACTTCGTGACCAGTACCAGGTCCGTCAGACCGGACATCTGCCACAATACATCTACCTCTCTATACCTGTCCAACAATATAAATTTTGGCCCCGAACAGCAAAGTGACTAGTGCGAACTTCGAGCTGAACGCAGCAAGCATTTAAGAGGTTTCATAAAATTCAGTTCAGTGTCCAAAGAAAAGTTGTAGAAGAAAATAGGGGTTTTACTAGAATCCAAATGAGATTTGGCAGTCTTATAAACTTCATACTGGAAAGCATTGTCGGTATAAAGCTGAAAAAAACACACATTTGAAAATAAACTGAAAAATAAACTGAAAACATATAGTTCTTCATAAACAAGAGAAAAAATACATCTCGTAATTACAAAAACAAAAAAAAGTTCCCAAATCACATCTATGAATGTGATATATTGAATTTTTCATCTCAAGGCTGACATATCACTAAACAAACGATAATACGATTTTTCACTAGTTCGGGCTTCCATTGTCTACTATGATTCTGATATGATTTGAAATCTCTGAAAAGATTAAAATTAAAATATCTGAAAAATATCAGTTATATTAGGCAATAAACCGAGAAATGGAATAACGATGAAATAAAAATAGCAACGAAACGGCGTTTCAATTGTAAGTATCTTTGGGTGGAGACTGGACTATTACTCCGAGGAATTGCTATTAATAGGGCATTCGAACGCTTTCACCTATCCCATCTTTCCCCTCTCCGCTTCACCAGTTTAGCGAAAATTGACCGTTATTCGCTTGATTGAAGGTTTCCTTAATTGCGTATCTCTACGCTAACTTGGCTGAATGCGTCGTTGAACAACATATATGCAGCCTCTTTGAACTTTCTCTTGAACCAGTGTTCTTCTCTGTGGATGATGCCAACCTGTCACCACTTATATTGGTGAATCCAAACATACTCTGCTATTCTCGATTTGCTGGTTCCTCCTCGTTGTGTGTTTATCTTATGTTCGGCAATGCGGTCTTTTGATGGCCTCTTGAGTTCACCGATATAGGATTTGCTGTACCTACAGGTCAATTCTTGAAATCGCCTCACAAGGCAGAGAACCGTCACCCAGTGTTTCATTTTCCCTTCGTCAGAGAAATATCGGAAAGGATAAGGAAAATTTGGTTCAAGAACAATATTAGATTCGGTAACACATCCGCAGCAGCACCATGAAAACTAGGCCACCAAACGCAGACTGCGATTCCAAAAATTGCACATACTATATCGGTGAAACTAAGATGCCTATTGAAAGCCCGCTTTGCCGAGCACAAGAGAAACACACAGCTAGGAGAAACCGGGAAATCGAGAATGACAGAGCATGTTGGGACTCATCAACACAACATCAAGCGGTCCCAAGCTGTGATCATCCACAGAGAAAAACACTGGTTCAAGAGGAAGCTCAAAGAAGCTGCATATATGTTGTCCAACGACCAAGCTAGCGCAGGGATACGCAACATATGGAAACCTTTTAACAAGCAAAAAATGCTCAACTCTTGCTGAATGGCAAAGAGGAAATAGGGGATAGGTGAATGACCTTTCAATAGTCATCTCTTGGAGGAATAGTTCAGTCACCACCCAAAGACGATTGTGGATACTAACAATCGAAATGTCGTGAAGCAACTTGGTTTGAAATCTTTTCAAATTTCATTTTTGATTGTTAAAATTTTAATTTTTGCGGCGGCCTTCAAACCCGAATGAAGATAGAAACACTGATGGTACGAAGTTTCGATTAGAGGAATTGTTCAACTTCATTTCAACTACAGCACTCACCCTGTAAATATTATCCAAGTCAGTCAAAGGATTCTCGTTGTCATGAAAATAAAATCGTTTGATTTCTTCCACAGCTCTTTTGTAAATATCACTTCCTACCCTCAAATTCATAGACCGAGGCACAACAGTTTCATCCAACAGAAGTTTGTTTGTCTTTCCAGTAATACAGAGAGAGTAAACGAACATTCCCTCTCGATTGCAACATCCTATTATCAGCGGAACTTTTGTGTAGTTTCCTGATTTCATGATGGTTGAGGGATCTTCAGATAAAAAAGCTTCCTCGTCGGAGGGTTCTTCAACAACCGGTCCAAAGGGTCTGAACACACCTACCATAAGGTGCTGAAATTGATAATATTGAATCGGTTGGAGCTGGGTATATGGAAATAATAATGAGGGACTTAGACAACGTCTATAAATTCTCTGCAGGAGTGGGATTAATGAATACTGTGTTCGTCGCCTTGTTGTGAAATCTGCTGAGGAAGACAGAAGGAGATTTTTTATTGATGGTCAATGTCGAAGATTGACTTTGCAATATACTACAGTGAAGACAGTCCTTTATATAAGACGAATCAATTTCGAGTTCATATCATAAGGGGAGATGTCTCTGCTTGACTATGCGCTACTTATAATTCTGGAATGTTATTTTGTATTTAAGAGTAAACCACATTGTTTTAGAACATTGGGTATATCTTTATTTAGCACTGAATAAAATTGAAACAAAAAACTACAACCAAATGCCAGGAAAAATACTTGTATTAGATCACGTGGTCCTCGAAAAAACAATACATGGAATATAAAAGACTAATGAAAAATTCCCTCATAAGATAATAAAACATCATGAATGATCAGCCTGTAGTTTAACAAAAGATATAAGGAAAAACAGGAGACCAAAGTGATGGCTATATGGAAGAATACGTGATGAAGATGAAAAATAGCCCTACCAAGGGAGAGACAGTATCCATTGTCAGATAAATGATAGAGACGATGTTTTACTGAATATTAAGTTCGTTATAATAATAATAATAATAATAATAATAAATATGCTTTATTATCCAAAGAAAAGTTCTTATTAACAAAGCTTTGGTGAACATTTTGAGAAAGAAAAAACATAGTCAAGTGCATGAAATCAGAATATAAGGTAGTAGATTGATAAAAATATCTAGAGTCCTACCATAAACATGAAAATAAAAATTTTGAAAGTCGTATTTTCTGAAGAACATTGGATTATATACAATATGAATGCAATATAAACAAATATAAACAAAATAATATACCTATATGAAGGTATATCATAAAATTCTTGCAAACTATAATATGGCCTCTCGCTAAGAAAAGCCTTTGTAGATTTTCGAAATTCAGTACAGATTACTACGCATTTTAGGTAGTTTGGAAGATGATTATACATCTTGAGACCATTATACAATATAGAATTTTTAATTGAAGTAGTGTTAGGTATGGGAAGACTTAAATTTAGGGTCTGGAGTGTGGTGTAATGAGAGACAATAGAGGGAAGTTCTGTTCTATGTTTATGCACTAAACAAACTGTTTCTAAAATGAATAGAGCATACAGTGATAAAATTTTGTTTGCTACAAACAAAGGCCTACAAGAATCTCGCCGCCTGGCTCTACAGAGAAATCTTAATGACCTTTTCTGCAGAATAAAAATCTACTCCAATCTAGTTTGATTACTTTCCCATATCTTAGATGTGATTCTACTAATGAATAATACAGTTTTAGCTGCTGTTAGTCCTAGTTTGTTAGAAGTTATTTTCACATAACTAACATCCAGATGAAAGTTTTTCGTTAAGAGATATTATGTGGTCCTCAAATTTCAATTCATTATCAATTCATAACCCAAGAAATTTGTTGCATGACGTGTTCTCAATCACATTCGAATTCGACGCTAGAGGAATATTATCAAGAATGCAATTAAAAGTTAAAAGTTCAGTTTTTGAGACATTGAAAGCTAATAAATTTGCCACCAATCTGAAAGTTTCGAAATATCAGAGCAAATGGCATTATATAGATCATTTGTGTTGGTATTGTGCCATAATATTGTAGTATCGTCGGCGAATAAAGTAAATTTACTCTCATTATCAATGGTAGTCAAGTCATTGACTTGACTACCAGACTAGAAATAGAGTAGGTCCCAGTACTGATCCTTGTGGTACTCCGTTAGATATGTTAGAAACATCAGATACTGTTGTGTATTTAATCCTTTGACTTCTATCCGATAGATAAGAAGTAAACCTTTTATGAGTAATACATTCAAAACCGTAGAGATAAAGTTTCCTGAGCAGAATTTCGTGATTAACACAGTCAAATTCTTCAGAGAAGTCGCGAAAGATTGCTGCTGTAATTTCCCGTCTATTAATGTTACTATACACTTCATATGAAAATGAAAATATGGTATCATGAGTATTTTTGTTTGACTGGAATCCAAATTGTTTGAAGCTTATTATATTACCGAAATTCAATTGTTCTGTTAAACGTATTTTCACCAGTTTTTCAATAATTTTTGCTAACGACGGAATAAGAGAAATTGGGCGATAGTTCGAGGGATTCTCTAGATCACCACCTTTGTAAAGAGGGATTACGATTGAAGTTTTTAAGAACGAGGGAAATGAACCCGTTAGAAATGAATGATTGATTGCCTTCGCCAATGCATTAAGAGCAGTAGCAGGAAGATTTTCAAAGATTTTCATGGATAATTCGTCGTTACCAAATACCGATTTATTATTAAATGAAGCGATTATTGCCTGTAATTCGCAAACATTAGTAGGGTGTAAAATAAGTTTTTCGTAAGAAATTAAATTGCGTAATTTCTCAAGGGGATCATACGGTGCGTCAGATTTATTAGTTAAAGTGACGGCTATTGAACAATAATATTTGTTAAGTTCACCTATTGGTATTGGTATTTCTGCTTGTTTATTTTTACACTTTTCTAGAAAGTCGTTTATAATAGACCAAGTCTCTTGGTCTTGCTTGGGTAATCCTTTTTTGATAAAAAATACATTTTGCATGGTTAATCAGTTTTTTATAAATGTTTTTGTATTTTTCAACATAGTTATGAAATGCTGTGTTATTTGTGAATTTTTTAATGTAGTTGAGCGATCGTAGATTACAAGAAGATATTTTTATGCCTTTGCTAAGCCAGTGCTTTTTTAATTTTAATTTCATCTTTTGATGGGGAAAGGAGTTATTAAAAATGGACCAGAGCTGATTATAAAATGTTTGAAGGGGATCAATAACATCCTGAGTATGTTCCCAATTAATTTGACTACATTTTAAATAGAACCTATTATAGTTTGCTGTACTGTAGAGTCTACCATACTTGAACTTTTTACCTTGTTTTGTAGAATCGATGTTAACACTGGAGTGAATAGCTTCATGATCAGATAATCCAGAAGAAATAACAGAAATAACATGACCGGAAATTATCGTTACTATATACATAATCAATAATCGAATTACTATGCTGTGTTATACGAGTTGGAATATCAACATGCATTTTCAAGTCAAAAAAAGTTAATAGATTCATCAGCGACTGCATTAAAATCGATTCAGCTTCGTCAAAATTAATATTAAAGTCCCCCGTAAGAATAAAATTTTACTTAAAGGAAGGTGTTGATGTCATAAGAAGGTGATCAATAAGTATTTAACTTTTTTGAATATACTACAGAAAACTCGAAAATATCTTCAAGAAGCAAATACTTGGAGAACCAAGTGAAATGCACGTTAAAAATGGTTAATAAACAATATCTTGATGGTAGATATACTTGTAACTTCGGACTCATTATTTGGAAGTTTCTATAAACCAACTTATAGTAAACTATGCAAAAACCAGCAAACATCTCCTTAACGATAGCTGCTAAGGATTCCAATGAAAAGATCCAGAGCTGAAGCTCCATAACAAAGTCATTCAGATATATAGTTCACTCAGATCGTTGACGAAGTCCTGTATAGAAATACGGTCAAAATCTGGAATGTGACGAAAGAAATTGAAGTAATGGGGGGATGGGGGATGATGGGGGATGATATAAAAGAACATCGCCTTATTAATTTATTTGAAATAAGATGAACTCACGTCTGGTATTTTTTCGGAGGCTCGAAACAATTCTTCTAGGGACACATTTCTCAAATGCTTCAGTAAGAGTTCTTCATCATTAGTGTATACTCCCAAATTTTCTGCCAACTGATGGATGGTGTATTTGCTGCAACTTGCCCAAACGTTTGTAGCACATCCACTTTGCGATATCGCTTTATGAAATAGACCTGAAAAATGAAGTGTCTGCTGTATAGGAAATTATTTTACCTAACGATTTCCTCGATAGTATGTTGGTCCGAATACGACTAAATGAATAAAAAGTTTGAAGGAAATAGATAGAAACAGAAGTGAGGAGGAAGAAAACACGGAGGTTATCAATGGAAATAACCGAAATAACCCATTGAAATGCATGTCAAAAATGAGCAATAACAAATAATTTTTTTGTGATGCAGTATTCGGAACCTTTGATGTAGTAGCAAATGCTACTGGTATTTTTTCACAACACCAAACCGATATTTTATCACTGGGAGACACCTCCTTTATATCGGCAGGTGAGGCCAAGATGCGTCGAACACACACTCTTTTATTGACGATAACTCCGGACACTCTCATAAGATATGCCTGACAGATTTATCTTCCTGGCAAAACTGCATCCTTTGATTCCATCCCATATCTTTAGGGATTGAGCATGAGTGTGACGTTTGGCTAGTTACATCATCATCACATAACTGATATGTGTGACTGATGACTTGTGATGGATGACTCCTCGTGGAGGAGTCCAAGGAAGAGCTCCCGTTTCCCCCAGCAAGACTCCTGGGAGCAATGGAAGATCCGCCGGAGCAGATCCAAGATATTCTAGAGGAATACCCACTAGGAATCAGGTAGCGGACAGCTACGACCTGGAAGGAGCAGCAATCGGATGCCATTTACCTTCTGCCTCACAACCTGGACCTATATTCTAATTACGATCGCAACTGAACCGGACCACTCCAACGGAACAACTGAAAACCAAGAAAAACAAGAGGAACACAAGACAATATAAGACAACACGACATTAGACATTATTACACAAGACAACATACACACACACACACACACACACAATCCACTAACCCTGAAGAGGCATAAGCCTATAGCAGGGCTCCACACAAAATACATTATCAGAAATATTTTGTAATTTCAACCGAAAGCTCTAATAAACATTTTGTATGTATGTTTATGTAAACGTTTTTTGACTCAGAGTACAATCACCGTATGTTACTGTCAACATTTCGAGTTTTTTTAGTACTCATCTTCATTTTTCAAACAGAATCCAATGCAAATTATTTGATCCATTTTTTGATAACAGAAAATCGCCGAACAGGCAAAACGCTTCTAACTTGTAAGCCTCTCATCAATAAACTAAACATGCTAAACAGCTGAAATCGTGAACGTATGGTTATGATGAATGTATCAGCATAAATAAATGAAAACATCGCTAAGGTATTTGTGTGTCGAAAAATTTTTCTTTTTTACACGCTTTATGTATGTATGTATGTATGTATGTATGCATGTATGCATGTATGTATGTATGCATGTATGCATGTATGTATGTATGTATAAAAAAATCTGTATAAAATCTGTTTTACCGTTAACCAGCTGTCGCACCCCTACGAACGACAACCCTCAGAAGTCGAAACTTGTGCGAGCAAGGATGTATGTATGTTATTTTCAATGAAACTTCAAATCAAAATATCAAGACTGAATTATTTTTTGAAAAAAATATGTTTTCCGCATATCCACGACTCAAAGTTCGAGCGATAATGCCGATTCATTTTTGAATAACTGTTTCTCAGAAGAGCACATATTTATTGTTAGGAACAGAAGCAACAGTCATTCGAAGTTCGATGAGATCCAAATCAGTTTAAAGGTAGTAGACAAAAAAATAACAAGTCACGATCATATTCGTCATTCTTAACTAGATGGTGACTTACAGGATTGAAAGAAGAGGACCAGTTGAATGAACAGCTATATATTCAGACCTGAATCTATTAGACATTTTCATAGCGAATATGAGAGAACTGTTCTGTAGTTCAACAAAATTTCCTTGATGACTTCTTTCACAATATAATTTTACTTTTTTATTAGTCAGTGGGCTATGCTTGAAGAATGGCAGTAAACAAATCTAAAGAAATGAACTTTAAACGTTCAAGCCAGTCTCGAATACACCTACACAGTAGGTTGAATGGACTGTCGCCTGTCAGAAAACAACTACTCCCTTGGCCAATACAACGAAGGGCGTTGGATTATATCCGACATCGGGCAAATTGCGAACATGCAGTTGGTTAGTACCTCGACCACTAGATGGAGTGACGTTTTGTTGTTCGTTCCAACTTATTGAGAGGAATGAACTACTCTGAAAGAATTCCGATTTCCAATTATGGAATATCATTGACTTCAGGTCGATGATGACCACTATCTTGCACTGATGAGTGACTAATGCGTCCGAAACCGGTCTGCAAATGTGCCCGTTCCAAAATTGAAGGTCGACTCTTTCAGTTATATATGCAGTTGCATATGCAGGAAATTTGTGGGAAGATTCCTGCACTGACGCCTGTCGGATATAATCCAACGCCCTTCGTGGTATTAGCCAGGGCAGTAGTTGTTTTATGATAGGCGTCAGTCCATTCAACCTACCGTGTAGGTATATTCGAGACTGGCTCAAACGTTTAAAGTTCATTTCTTTAGAATAATTTTACTTTTTGTACTTTGTTGCCATACAGAGTGATCACGTTTTAATGATATTATATTGCTACCTTCTTAACTATGAAAGTAACAAGTCCTATTGATTGGAGTAGAACTCCACTATGGAACTGTATAAGAACATAGGCTTTCACGGACGGAATCAAGTTTAGAAAGTACAAAATCTAAGCTGGGTGATTTTGTTTGTTTCCTTTACTTTCTGTTGGATTATAAATTCATTTGTTTCATTTACCTTATCAATAATGGATGAAAGCCGAATCGATAGATTAGTGGAATAAGCTCCCAGGAATGAGGCAGGCGAAAGATTTCGCCCAGATTCACGGAAGACCTGCTAAACCACAACCGTAAGGTTAGTGTTGGGTCTACTAACGGGGAATAGCTGGCTCAGAGAGCTTATGAGTAACATGGGTCTGACAGAAGAAACCCAATGAGGTTCTGTCAAGAAGAGAAAGAAAACGCATTGCATGTGCTCTGTGAATGCGAAGCGATAGCAAGGCTGAGACACGCAAAATGCGGGGAAGAGAAACGAGAGACTGCCAGCTGTATGAAGTTCAGTGTCAGTGTCAGGGCTATGGAGTCTCATCAAAGAGAGCAAGCTAGACAATGAGCTCTAAGGAGCATATAGCATCGCAATAGCATCGCAATAGACCTGAAAAAGCCATGAGCTAGCTCCTCGACAATCTAATCTAATCTACGTTGTCAATCTGAAATAATAATTATTTCAAGTATTACTGGGTTTACCATGTGCTCTATTTTTTTGTAATAATGATAATGATAAAAATAGAAAGTGGAGAACCTTTTGCCATCGGTGACAACATGAGAAGATGCACTGCTGCTCCTCCAGCACTCTCACCAAAAATTGTAACATTATTGGGATCACCAGAAAATTGTTTTATGTTTCTCTGCACCCAATTCAACGCCATAACCATATCTTTTAACCCAGCGTTCCCTGGTACTCCCAACGACGGATCTCGCAGGCGGAGGAATCCTGGAAAATTATTAAAATTGATGTAAAAAACATTTCAACATTTGTATAGTGTCTTTCATTAGGCGCTTCTTATTTCTAAATTTAAATAAAACAAAGGGTGTGTGAGATATCCTCGAATTTTTCTATTCGTTTGAAAGATCTGTTGATGCCATTACGTGTGGAATATAACATCGTTCAAATGTCCGCCACGGCTTCTCTGGGTGGAGCGCATCCGAAACGTCCAATTTTCCATGACTCTGGCACATAAATCAAGCTAAATTTGATTGATGACATGGATTATGTTGGCTTTGAGGGCCGCTGTGGTTTGTGGCTTATTTGAATACACCTGCAACTAAAGTAAACCCCACAAGAAAAAGTCTAACGGGTCAAATCGCACGATCTTGGTGGCCAGTTCACATCTCAACAACATGCCCATGCCAATGTGGCACGTAGCACCAATCGACAGCCATCTTAGTTTCAGACGGGATGGAGCCCAGCTCCCTTACCCTTTCAGCTGATTATTGTCAAAGAAGGACAAATGGGTTCATGACTGAGATGTTGACTGCATGAAGTCCTCAGACATCAGTACCGCCCTTCACGGGGTACCCCTACCTGGCTGGAGTGGGATGGATTAAAGATCTGCTCATCTTTTAACGAGGGACATGAGGGCCTCATTCGACAGAGTGTTGAGGCCTTCTATATCGGAAGGGGTCCTCTACAGCATAATCCATAGATTCCTTAAATAACGGATTTTCGTGAGATTCCGCACCTACAAAAACTCGCCGATTCCTCGACTGAATGGACTGCCGAATGGAAGGCAGTTTCAAATCTCTGAGGATGGCTTCACTCCGCACGAACCAAGGAGCATTAACAATCATCCTCATTAACTTTTTTTGTAATCTCTCCAGAGTGGAGATATTGTATGTAGCCGCTTGTCCCCAGACGCCTAAAGCATACATGATGACAGGCTTGAACATCATATTGTAGATGGTAATTTTGTTCATGAGGCTCATTTTCGATTTCCAGTTGATCAGAGGGTACAGACTAACTATCCGACCCTCGATCTATGTTTTAACGCACATAATGTGCGGGTTCCAAGTGAGCCTACGGTCTACTAGAAGACCGAGGTACTTTACCCGCGCTTGCCAGTCGATCTCCCTTCCAGAGATTCTCACTTTTCTGGCCGGAGAAGATAGTAATCTTCCCATGGTTATCACCTGAGTCTTGTTCGGGTTCACTTGGATCTTCCAATCGAGGTACCAGCGCTCGAGGTCGTCCAATGCACGTTGCATGTAGACGACGCCGAGCTCTCGACCCATGGAAGATGAGAGGAGGGCCGTGTCATCGGCGCACGTAGCGCCATCCTGTGGAGACCATATGTCATTGGTATCCAGATCATCCAATTCAGGCCAAAATAAGTTGGTATTCATCGACATATAGTGGTCGCCGTTCACAGTGATGGCCCGTTCCCAAAAAAATATGGACCAATACGCCACCAGCCCAAAATTCATACCAAACAGTGACTTTTTCGGGATGATTTGACGTTCACCGCTGAAGATGATTTTTCGAATGAAATTAGGGTCAGTTGCCAACTGCTCCAGAGCCCATTCAGCCAACAAGCGTCGTTGTCTATTATCATTTACCTTCAGTTCCTGGGTCAGTTGAATTTTGTAGGGGTTGTGTTGTAATGGAACGGGATTTTCTCTCAGGGTTTTTCGTGGGTGGTCAGGGAAAATCATATAATCTTATAATCTGGAACTTTCACTGATTCGGAGTGAAATGAATGGACAATACAGGAAATCAATAGTAGATGGTTACTCGCAATTATACAGCTAAATTGAGGTGTAATTAATTGTCACAATAGAACACTACTGGCTCTACCATTGCTTACCTAAAATAAGATGCAGGCACGGTCGCCACAATACAAGAATTATTCAACTTTCCAGTCCCCAGGCAAATTATATTGAACTGAATAAGGCGTGGGTAACAATAAAACCACTGACTTTTACATCCTTTCAACAAATCTCTCTCTTCCATCGCAATTCAATAAAATAGTTTTCGATATAATGAATATAGTTTAAAAAACTAAAAAACTCGCTTTTAAAAAACATCAAACTAAAAAGTTCAACAAATCTCTCTCTTCCATCGCAATTCAATAAAATAGTTTTCGATATAATGAATATAGTTTAAAAAACTAAAAAACACGCTTTTAAAAAACATCAAACTAAAAAGTAGAAAATATTTTTTTTTAAATAAGCTTAAAACAATAACGAACGAAATATACTAGTATTAGCAGCAGGCGCGCAAAGGAGGGTTACAAGTAAGGCAGCAGGCACGCGTATTAATAAAAAAATACTTTTTTAAATGAAGAAATACATGTGAAGTGAGTTGGAATCATATCAAGGATGTTACGTACAGCGCCATCTGCCCGCGAATAGATCAAGCAATAATGTCAATAATTCCGTCAAATACAGATTCCAAGCTTGAGAGTTACAAACAAACAAACATATATACATACATACAGGTGAAGCTAATAAAAGCATGCTATCAATAATTAATAAAAACAGTGGCGATTTTTCTATACATTCTTATAGGTGCGAGGTTTTTAGGTATACCGAGGATCGCTGTGGCAACCAACCGATCATATAAATATATGAAGAATGTATAAATAACGTAAAATGACTCAAAGGAAAAATGCCCGTGTTTTGCTACATCTCGCCCCCCCTCTTCAGCTTGAGTTCCGAGAATAATGGAGTGAAAATCAATCCAAATAGAACTTTGGCCTTATGCATAGTGCTAAAAATCTTGGCGTAACCATAGATAGTTTTTTGTCTTCACATGAACATGTGTCAAACATTCTCAAAGTATCATTCCTCAAGCTCAGATCGCTATATAAATTCAAGTGTCAGTTATCAGAAGAAATGAAACTCAGGTTAGTTGAAACTCTTCTTTATCCCAATATCGAGTATTGTTGTTCGGTGTATTACAATTTTTTGCCGCAATATAACAAGCAGCAATTACAACGTATACAAAATGCTTGCATGCGATTTGTATGCTGTATACCATATGATGAAGAAGTCATACCATATTTGTTAAAAATGAAGGAGCTGAATGTGAGCTACAGAGTCCAATATTTGATGATTTTTTATTTGTTTAACTTGCCTCAAACTAAAACACCTAGTTATTTATATAGTTTATTAAGCAGGCATTCTCACATACACATGATCAATTTGAGAATTAACTCATTCAACATACCTAGCCACCGTACTTCCAAATTTCAAGGATGTTTTTCGCCAGCATTATTAACCAACGACCACTCCCGACACCGTGGGGTAAGTGATCATTGGGCCCGAGAATCATCAAGGATTCCAATAATCAGAACAACCATCTTGACAGAGTGATCTGGATAGAGACTGCGGAGTTCGAAGAGAAAATCTCGATATTTTATCCGTTTTCCTCCTCTTTTCTGACGATATTCGTCTCGCCAGGAGCTGAAAACTCCACGACAAATATCGTCTTACTCTGGTGGTCGAGAAGGACTACATCAGGCTTATTAGCTTGTATGAGCCTGAGGATGGGGAATGAAGAGTTCCAATGAATTCGGCACTTCTCGTTCCCCACAACGGATTCAATATCCTCCGGAGCGCAGGGCAACACCGGTGTCTCGTCAATACCGTATGAGTGCCATAGATGATAATATAGCACTCTTAGGGCCGCGTTATGTCGATGGATATATGCCGAGACCGCATATGCTGGACATGATAATAGCAAGTGCATTAGGGCCTCGGGCGCCTCGCGGCAGGCCCTGCATCTTGTGTCAGGAACATTTATACCTGTCACGCGACTGCGGTAGACTAAGGTGTTGAAGACACCATCCTGGCAAGCCATGATGAACCCCTCAATTTTCGACTTCAGCCCAATCGACCTGAGAAAAGCGAATGCCAGGCGCTTTGATAAGAGTAGGTCTCCAATGTTATTGAAGAAAACTCTATGCATTGGCTTATCCTTAGGTTTTCGCAGAAGTAAGGTGATCTCTGAGGCTTTTATCTGACATTTCTGCTGAACGGGTTTCAACTCGGTGACAGAGTTGTGGTCACCTCGTTCAGTGTCTAAAACTATACCGAGTTCATCAGCTGCTCGGGCAGCTGCCCTTAAGAGAAATGCTCCAATTCTTGCTCTCTCATGGTCACGGACCATGCAGAGAAGGGGATCTGAACTCCTGAAGACTTTACAGGCCATATCCAGTATCATTCTGTCATGTAGACACTCCAAACTCAAAAGTCCACGATTTGGGATGCAAACTCCTATAGAGATGCATCATTTTTCGGGTCTTTACGTCGAGTTGAATACGTTCCAAAGTCAAAATTAAACATGGACTACTGGACAAGAAATTGCTTTTTGTATCTCAGCAATTTTTACTGCACTCAGCGGTTGATGCTTTTGCATTGGTTGGTTCATCTTTTATATTCATGGCTTTGGTTTTGCCAGATGATGAGACTTTTCTGCATATCACACTTACCTAGAGGCCCTAACCTGTAGTTGAAAGTAACCAGAACTATGTCTTCCGTCAGAAGGAATTCAGGTCCATATAAGTCGGAGTTGCCAGAGCTGCTGGTGAATCCTCCGCCGTGTATCCAGAACATAACTGGCTTCAGGGTGCTTCCTGAAATCTAAGTGAGGACATACTTTCAGAACATCCTTATAAGTCAGTGATTTTTGTAGCAACTTCAGAAATTCTTCTGAAACTGTACGTTTCAGACGAGAACGAATCAATTCAGAATTTCCATGAACTATAACTTGCTTACTTCTCGGGTGAACACGTTAAGGACTAAACAATCTTCAGATCCTACATATGCGGAGATACCCTTGGCATAGCACTCGCTTCCTTCTTTTGTAGCGTCTCGAACGCCTTTCCATTTTTCAGGAGGTTGGGGTGCCTGAGAAAAGTACAAAATGTGTATCATTCAACAGAGAAAGTGAGGTTATTTACCATTCGAATTGGCACAACTCCAATGGCACAACTCCAATGGCACAACTGTGATTGTTATATATAATGATATTATAATATAAATACGAACAAACACCGTACATGATATCAATAATTCAATTTATTTTCAGACGAACAAATAGTCGAATTTCACTAGTTCGGACTTCCATTGTCTATTATATAAAATGATTTGAAATTCCTGAAACAAATAAAAAAGAAGAATTGAAAATACGCAACATATGGAAACCCATCATCAAGCGAAAAATGGCTAACTCCCGCCAAAACGGTCATCTCCCACGGAACCAGTGAAGCGGAAAATGGAAAGCAGGGATAAGTGAAAGTACTCGAACGACCTATAAATAGTCATCTCTCGAAGGAATCAGTCCAGTCATCACCCGAAGACGATTGTAGATACTAACAATCGAAACGTCGTGAACTAACGTGACTTGGAATCTCTTCACTTTTTATTTTTATTTTCTTTTTTCATTTCTTTATTTTAATTTATTCAATTGTTCTATTTTTACTTGTAGTTTATTTCACTATTATTTCATTTCAGGTTCATTTTGGTTAATATAATTGTTATTTTCAGCTATTCATTTTCAATTCTTCTTTTTTATTTGTTTCAGGGATTTCAAATCATTTTATATATTAGACAATGGAAGTCCAAACTAGTGAAATTCATCATTAAACATTGTCAATCACCTTCAAACGAACAAATAGTCTTTATATTTAGTTTTGAACTTAGTGAAATTCAATTGTTTGAGGGAGGGGGACAGAATTATACTTTTGACAAATTTGGTACCTGAAAGACCGCCTGAATACTTCTGTTTTGAATTTTGGCATTGCAAGAATATTTTTATATCGAATATTCAGGTTATGGATGTCAGTATGATATGTAATTTTCCTATGAAGATATGAAGGTTCTTTTGTTATAATTATTTTATGAAAAAAACAGACAGTGACAGTGAAGTTACCTACTTTTCTCCATGTTGAGTCATCCAATTTCTTGAAGCTTATATGAAATCCTGTCTCGTCGACCAATACCAAGAATTAACCTGAGGAACGAGTTTTGAACTTTTTGAATATTATTTTTGTATTGATTGCTTAAATATGGGCCATAAAGAACATCCGCATAATTGAAAACTGAAAGAACCAAAGATTCACATGGGGACTTTTTCACATAATAACTCAGAATATGTCGGTTAACATAAATGATTTTTAGTGCAGAATAGGCACGTTGTGAGAGTTTATTCATAAATTTTTCAAGTCTCAGATCTACATCCACCAAAAAAACACCAAGTTTTTTTGCTTCTCTAACAATATCTAGTGGCTTATTTTGAATGCAGATATTCACAGAGTTATTCACTACGGAACAGTTAAATCTTGGACCAAAGATCATTACATTCCATTTACTAGGGTTCATAAATGAACAATGGTCCGTTGCCAATTCAACAAATGTATTTATATCTGCATTGATAATGCCACAAGCATTGTCTGCCATTTTCGTCAGAAAGCTGTGGTATACTTGAGTATCATCAGCGTATAAATGCACCTGACAAGTGTGAAGAGCCTATAGTGACTTGGATGTATATATAGAGAACAATAAATGGCCGAGTATGGATCCTTGACGTAACCCTGATTTGAGATATAAAATATCTGAGTTGTATTCCTCTATACTAACCAGTTGCTGTCTACTTTTCAAATAGTCCGTCCATAATGCAAGAGCATTGGCAGAAAAACTATTATAATCCAAAATGCCTAACAAAAGATTGTGATTAATAGTATTAAACGTCCGGTCGAAATCCAGTAGCACTAACACCGTACATTTGTTTTCATCTATTGTTGCATTATATATCATCCACAATATGTAGAAGGGCAGTTGAACAGATATACCCTTTTCGAAATCCCGAAAGCAACAGAGAAAAGTTCAAAATATGGTTTTTAAATTGAAACTCCATAGCCCCCTCCAAAATTTTTGACAATAAAGGCAGGATACTGATACCCCTCAAATCTTTAAATTCCATTGGATTTTGTATTTCAGGCACTCTCTTCCAGACAGTTGGGCAGACATTCTCAGTTAAACAGAAATTTATGATATGGGTAATATAGGGTACGATTTGAGGCCAACACAGCTTTATCAGCTTAATACTCAACCCATCGAATCATTTAGCGTTTGTTATTATTTCAAAAATAGTTTTGTGAACAAACAAATCATTAATTTCGTCGAAACTGACAGCTGTTTCAGCCTATTGGGCATCGTCAATACCAGACAGGCGGCCCTCGATTGAAGACAAAATGTGAATAACCAAGAAAACTACTTGATAAAAATAACTGCGTGAACGCAAGCGAGACATAAGTGGAACCACCTATCGGTGTGACACCCAAGTCAATTTGTCAAGTTTTTATGCACTGTTAGTGGTTTGACCAATCAACCGACATCTGCGGTAGCAGAAATTTGCGAAGATTTTCTGGAATGCCATCGGAAAACGAATCCACATGTTTCTAAAAACGATAAGAAATCGAGAAAGGTTATTGCAGTCAAGCTGCTGGAAAATAATTCCATGAAAATCAAAAGATAAATAGATGGTTCCACTTATATTTCGCTTGTGTTTACGCAAGATCTGTAGATCCGAGAATCAGCAACAAGGTTGGCAGCATTCGGTATACCGAATATTTCCGAAGAATCTCCAACACTCATGAACCTATTTAGCGGTGATGTCAAATTGCGAGTAATTACTGCATTTGTGAGGATTTTCACCGATTTGCGGTAAAAGTGGGATAATGACTTTTTGTGAAGATTTTTCGGGGGAGGATTTGAGAGTGATTCATATCTGAAATCGAAAATCGAAACGATGTTGTTTGTGTTATGTTATATCGTTCAATAAAGCAAGATCTAATAAAATATTAGTTCTGTGCTTGTATCAAATATTCCGTTCCAGGATATTTTGACATAATACTTATGAATGATACATAACACATGAGACATTTGATGAGAGAGTAAAAAGGAGCGAAAAAATGTTTGCAAGTTGTTTACTTCAGTTTTTTATGAGATTCGGCGATTCTTTCTCAAATCTTCAGATTTCGAGGCATCCGAGAGGAACTTTTCAAATAAACACTCTACTCAGGATATTTTGACATAATACTTATGAATGATACATAACACATGAGACATTTGATGAGAGAGTAAAAAGAAGCGAAAAAATGTTTGCAAGTTGTTTATTTCAGTTTTTTATGAGATTTGGCGATTCTTTCTCAAATCTTCAGATTTCGAGGCATCCGAGAGGAACTTTTCAAATAAACACTCTACTCAGAACATGTACATTGTTTGTTATTTTGATTTGATACAAATGGAACGTATCTTCATCACTTTTACCAAAACGATTTACCTGTTTGAAGCTATCAGTTTCAAAAATTATATTTCATTTTTTATATACTTGTTGTGAGTCTGATTTCCCATTCACCATTTTTATTCAATCATAATAAATATTTTGATATTTTTTTCATCATTTTATGTTATCTATCAGGTATTCGATAAAATACAAAGTAAACATTTATTATCAGTTGTATCACTTGACATCGTAGTTTTCAGTGGATTAAAGTGAGCTGTGTGAGAATTTTGTGAGGATTTAAAATAATTTGCGAATAAAAGGAATCACTTTGCCTTAAATTTCAGCGTATTTTGTACAATTTCCATTGGCAACACTGCTATTGATCTGTGTGACCGCCTTTCTATTATATTACTCACCTTGAATCGCAATTCGCCGAGAGGTGGTTTGGCGTATGGTATTCCTTGAAAACTAAAGAAAGTTTTTCCGTTTAAATCACTTTTCACAGAACCTAATAATTTTCCTTCCCGAACAGACACCAAGGGCTCCGCCATTTTCTATTTATTTTTGATTATTCTCCTCTATTATGTGTACGACAGATTTTTCAAGTGGAACAACACCGAACTTTAGAATGGGATACATTCACTGCGGAATAATGATGTGAAAATACAGTGCCGTATCGGTGATGTAATAATTCTTATCTGAAATTGAGTGTGATTTATTTTTAATGAGTTGATGATTGAGAACAGAAATCATGGTTGGACTGTCCTGATAATGTTTGTCTGCTCAACCACTAAATTGTTTGTGATCCACTGTTTGGAACCTTTGGTGAAGTAGTGAATATTACTGGAGATTTTTCCCAACACCAAACCGTGATTTTAACACCTCGACACGTGTTTCGATCACCAAGTGGTCATCTTCAAGAGGAGTATTGAACTTACAAATTTCCTAGATTGGAGTTTAAAAACATATTGTTCATAAACGAATAAACAAACATTTGAGAATATTTTGTTTAGTTGGGTTTTCCCAAATTCTCTAACAGCAAAATGTTCTCATGTATTTGTTTATCTTTTACAAACTATATAGTTTGAATAAGTTTCGGCTTGATCAACTGAACAGTATTTTCATAATGATGATAGTAATAACACCGGACTCTATCCGGACCATTGTGTCAAGATGGTTATTTCGATTATTGGAGTCCTTGGTGGTATGATACACTTTCTACGATCTAATACTAAGATCATTTCTTTTGCCGCACTAAGGCGGAAATCTTGGCCGGACAAATGTAGAAGGCTGTCATTCGTGACTCAATGCGCTTTGGGTCTTCAGGGGTTAGGTGGAGGGATAACATACAGCTATAGAGATGTTAAGTGATTGGTTGTACTTCACATACGCAGAGTCGTAGGTTCCGTTAATAAACCTCACCAGGCCAAATTGTCCTTCGTCCTGCTTAGCCCACTCCTAAGTCTGTTCAGACATCTCTAGGTCTTTCAGTTGAGGTCTCCGCCAGGAAGAAGAGTTTCTGCGGGCTTCCAGAGAAGTCGTGGAGCCTTTCTTGCCATAGGCTCAGTTTTGTTATGTTTGTCGAAGTATTCAGTGGGATCGTACTATGTAGTAAGGACTACACCTTTGGTGTAGTAATGAATATTACTGGAGTTTTTTCCCAACACCAAACCGTTATTTCGACACCTCGACAAGTGTTTCAATCACCAAGTGATCATCTTCAAGAAGAACATAAAAAAAACCTTGATCTACCTCTTGAAGATGATCACTTGGTGATCGAAACACGTGTCGAGGTGTCGAAATAACGGTTTGGTGTTGGGAAAAAATTCCAGTATTATTCAAGTAATACCTATGCTTGATGGATGTCATAAAATTTCAAAGTTGGGGTACCTCAAGTATGTTAACATGATCATTAGCTGATGATACAATACAATGAGGGTTTTGATAGAAAAGCGATGACACATTTTGAATATTTCTGCGTACAAAGAAGATTCAGCAAAAACCGGAATTTCGAAATTAACACTAACTGAAGGCGATTTTTCATTCGGTAGTACCCCAAAATAGGCAACTTTGATATAGTTCAACCCACTCTTTCACCGGTTATGAGATCTTCATGCATAGAATGAAATTTGAAATGCTCGGTATACTACCTTCAGCGGAAAGAATTCAAAGTTTGTCGTTGATATGTAAATCTCGTAAAAATTATATAAATAATAGGTAAAATAATTCACGATTACATGAGACACATTTCTAACCACATCAAATTACCATATACATTTGCCTGGAATATATAACATGGTTTTCATGTTTTTACTACGAAATGGAATTATGTTTAAAAAAAAACTCACCACATATTGTATACCTATCTGATAAAACTAACATATTGGCCTGTAAAAACTAATTTCGAGTACATTGCACATATCCCACTGTCAAATTAAATCACCCCAACATTTCAATTGTTACAGCTACCGAATTCCAATTGGGCAAATATCAATGATGAACTGAATAGAGAAAGTATGGTTTATGCAACACTCTGAATTCAATAAATGATATCTTGTTACCTCTTCAAAAAAGAAATATTGTCACCCCTTCTACAGCATCTTTCCGCAAAGTCTGGAATGTTGTGGAATGCTCTGGAACATCTTCGACCATACCAAAACTTTTTCATGGAATCGAACCATACATGATGACAATCTATAATGTATTCAAGGAACACTTTATCCTTAGATTTTCACTAAACAGTGGGATCGATCCTAAAAGTGGGATTGTTCAACAAATTCAATATTTCAGAATATTCTGTAAAGTTCTGAAATGCTTTCGAATACTCCCGAATGTTCTGGGCTGTTCTATACATTTTCTGGATAGCGAAACCTCCAGTCCTTACTTTTTCAAAAGTACGTCCTTCAGGTAAAACCAAAAACTTCCTCTTTGGATGGGGCAGAGGGCTGCCTCAATTATTCTACAATGCTCTGGTATATTTCAGGATTTTCCCAAACGTTCAACAGTACTCCTCTACACTCCAAAATATCCTGGGATATTCTTGACTGTCCTAGAAGGCAAAAATTATATCCCTTATATCTTCGAAGGCAAGCCTTTTAAGTGAAAACGGGAACCTTTTTCAGGGATAATGATAAAGAGTCATCACACCATTGATCATTTCACTATGATCTGAGATTTTCCAGGATTTTCCAGAATATTTCCGAATACTCCAACATATTCCCGAATGTTGAATGTTGTGTGTTAGATTGAAATGAAAGAAAGAAAGAAATTTTATTGACCTCAAATAACAATTTCTGTTACGATAGAAAATATCTGCAATAACAAAATTTGCTTAGGTACGTCATACTGAAAATATAAAAAATATACATAGAGTACATAAAAACATCTCACAATAGTTATGACTCACAATATAAATACACATCAATACACACATATCTTTGTGTTTTGTATCATAATTGTGAATGCTGGAGCCACTATTATATTTATTTTTATTTTTATGTACAAACAATACTGCTTCTAGTATATACGTGGAAGGTAATGTAAATATGACCCATTTTATGAAGATTGGTTTAGCATGGGTTCTGGAATCAACTTTTTCTAAATCTCTTATTATCTTTTTTTGAATAACGAATACTTCACTTGCATGTGAGGAAGCACCCCATATCAGTATTCCATAGTTTATGTGGCAATGAGCCATGCCAAAATATGCAGTTTTCATCACATCGTTCGAAACTAAACACCTTAGTCCTCTCAATATGATCCTTTATCATGAATATGGAACGTAGGTATGCCCTGTAATGTTGTGGAATATTGTGTAATACTGTCAAATTTTCTGGACTCTTCTAGAAATTTCTAGAGGGCGAAACTCCTTATACGCCTTTGAAAGCGCGTCATAGAGATGAAAACGGAACGTTCTTCATGTACAAGCAGATATGTCACTATGACAAGAAGAAAAATAAAGGTATAATTTTCTGCTACCTTGCAAAATCGGGTCGGGCCGCTTACTGACTAATCAAGTCATAGGTTTTTTGAATCAGAATTCAATATTTTCAAGTCGCCCAGTTTACTGTTTGAATTGATGACATTATGAGTACATCTGATAGGTCATTAATTTTTGGTGTTATGCAAATTTAGTGCTAAATGATTCAATTTGTAATGCTCACAATCAGGGAAAGCAAAAAACCTATGGGTTTCAAGGTCAAGGAGGACAAAAGCTAGGAAGTAATTCAAAAAAGTACAAGTATAACTTTCTTTCAAGGTACAAGAGAAGGAAGATGATTTTTTTCACTGAGAAGTTTTGATAGTTCAATCCTCTTCCTGATCACAATTAGGTCTTTGGGTTAAAGAATCATGTGCAGAGCCAGTCAGCCAAGAATGTTAGCTTACTAGATTTTTTTAATAATTGCAACTATTTAGTCCATATTGATATTTTTGAGATAATTTATCCTGTTTCGAGTGAACCTGATGTATTTCAACTTCGTAGTCCACCAACGTGAAGAGAATACATCTAATGAAATATAAAATGTGCGTATGGTTAAGCCACAAACTAGTCGCCGTGTTTGGAATCTATAAAATATACGATAAATACTTCGTTGACATTATTTCTTCAACTGTGGTGTTCTAGAAACGGTGCAATGAAATGCTTGATATTTTCCATGAACGGCGCGAATGTGATCGCGCTTAGCTCATGGAAAAACTGGCTAAGATAAATCACGTATTTTCGTGATACCAGAATTACTCTTACCTGGTTTTTTCATGAACTTTTTCCAGGGGGCTAGCGGCGATGAACTTGCAACAATCATCTAGTATATTCATATATGAGGTACCGAAATCGCAATATCATGAGAAATCTCGCGTAAGCTTTGGCAGAAAGCGGGAAGTCTCAGACTGAAAGCTGAAATGAGGCTCTGTTGGGCAGAGAGCCACCCGTTATCACCAGCGGGGGCGCCTCCCATCGGCCTGTCGTGGGTCTATGAGGCGGCGCTTTACCTTGCGGACGTCTAGGGACTCAATATTGAAATCTCATCCTGCTGATCCTCCCTTTTCCCTCACCAATCCTTTTCCCCTCCTCCTACCACTCCCGTATGTGGGAGAGATGTAAATATTGTAAATATTCTGTACAGTAGACCTTATATTTGACAAAGAGAAATGTATAATAAATATTCTGTACAGTAGACCTTATATTTGACAAAGAGAAATGTATAATAAAGTATTTTTGATTTTGATTTTGAGTTAGTTACAAAAGGTACCTACCTAACTCTGTATACATTAAAATTATGCTATTTAAGCAAGAGTTTTCAGAAGATAATTAGTTTTGAAGAATCCATCGTGAGAGAAACAGTAGTTGTGTGTTTTTGAAACGACACTAGTGACAAAATCTTCGAGTGAAATTCTACGAGTTGAGCTAATATCAACATAAAACTAGATTTTGTGTGTATTTATAAGAAGTAAATATTCTTTTTTTGTAACTATTTGTCTTGTAATACATTTTTTTATTTCCACGTATTTTTATCTTTGATCACTTTAATATAACTCGGACGTAATTAAGTTTTTATACTATGAATTAGGATCCTTCGATTTTTTTTTTAATTCTGAATACATAAAATGAAAAATGAGCTGAACGTTATTCTTTCGAAAACTACACCTCACGATTTGATCTCAACAAACTTAATTTGAAAAATATATCACATGTTTCGCTAGCACAGTAGCTTTTCCAAGCGATTTATATAAATCAGTTCATCAAGTAATGGCCGAATCAATCAGAAAAAGATCATTGTTCGTTTGTAATTATTTTATACATGAAAGGAGCTATACCAACAAATTCAATTATGTAGTGATAATACTTTTTTGTCAGCAACAATTCGAATCTCGCGAAAATATCCAAAATTCTCTCCTGCAAAGTTGAAAAGGATGAGATACGTCACTTCGTGACGAGATGTGTAAAAATAAAAGCCGAAATTTATTTTCTGTTTTGCAAAAACGATAGAAAACATATCCTTCCACTCAATTCTAGAAGTTGATCAATGAATGTACCACTTATTTCCCAACCTCGAAAACGTAACAATATTGAATCAGAACTAACGCAAATCCTCGTTCATCCTATTGCCAATTTCTGAAACAATTGGACAAAATCAGTTACAAATATACTTATTCATTTTGTAGGTTGCCATATGTTTTGGGCTTGTTGGTAGTCATCGCATTGTATTCTATGAAATACCATTGGTCAAGGAGAAAAATGTACGCCGCTGCCTCTAAAATGAATGGACCAAGGACATTACCTCTGATAGGAAATGCTCATTCATTCTGCTGCAAATCAGAAGGTAATCAATAATGAATTTCGAAAGGTCACAGGTGGAATCCTACACATGATCAATTACTTGTGCTGCACTGTTTGGAACCTTTGGTGTAGTAATTATTATTACTGAAGTTTTCTTCCCAACACCAAACCCTTATTTCAACACCTCGACATGTATTTCGATCACCAAGTGATCGTCTTCAAGGGGAAGTTTAATCTTCCTCTTGAAGGTGATCACTTGGTGATCGTAACATGTGTCGAGGTGTTAAATTAACGGTTTGGTGTTGGACGTAACTGTGTCGTCAGTGTCATACCAAGTTTCGTCCAAATAGAAAATTTGCCTATATTTAGTTATTTGTTCTAAATATTTGTTCTGCAATTCCACTATTCTTCTGTTTCCAAAACTGCTTGATGTTTGTTTATTATCTTAAATCTAAATCCTATTTTCTTTATCCAATTCTGAAGAGCTTTGTCACAGCAGCTCTCGTTATGGTCGGTAGTATTCAGTGTCTTCCTAATGATTTCAGTTGTAGGAATATCAGTGCTTTTGTAACAGTCGTATATTGTTTTTTCAATGATTTTATTAGATGAACATCTGAAGGTTTTGGTAATCCTGTATCACAGGATTTCACTTACAGTTGAGAAGAGAATTTCGGTCAAATCTGATGTTGCTTGTAATAGTTTGTTTCCCTCGACACCAAACTTGAGATGTAGATTCTCATATACATTGAAACATACTCTCTGTGTTTCAATATTCAAATGCATCCAAATCTTTTTCACTGGTATCTCTTTTTCGCATTGTTTACCATCGCTATTGGGATCATTACACTGGAAAAAGTCTGCGTTGTTATCACATTCGTTATTACTATTAGTACTTGTCCAAGGATGCCACATTTCAAACAGAACAAAAATTTTTGGTAATTATAACTGCACCAATATCGTATTTCAACACTCAAATCGCAATCAGTTCCTGAACTGAACACGACGGCGATAACCCTCCCCAAATTCCCCGATTTTTATTCGTCACCGTAACTTGACTTCAAATTCAATTTTATGACTCTTTAGTCAATCATAAAACTCGGTTAGTAAAAATTATCCAGTACGAACCGCCAAGTCCACAATCCAAGTGGACTAGTTCGCTGCCGGTTGATTTCTATGTATTGTTTTTTTTGGCCTTTGAGAGTGTCGCCAACTTTAGAGTGCACAATATCGTTTACTTCAACTATAAATGCAAGAAGAGCCGTTAGACTCCGCAGCTAATTCTTCCACAGTCACCTTGTGTTCTATTTTGCAAACTGACGAAGAAACCTTTCTTTATTGAATTTTCTAGATGTACTTCAGAAGATTACTTCTATAATTGATGAATATAATAAAGATCCTATTCGATTTTGGCTGGGACCGAATTTGTTGGTTGTCTTGAAAAATCCGATTCATCTTGAGGTGAGTTCTTCAAATAAACTACAAGAAATGGATATCATAGTTTTTTTTACAGAAAATCATGTCATCCTCCAAATTCGCTTATAAACACGAGCTTTACGAAATCTTCGAAGAATATGTTGGAGATGGTCTGATTAGTGCATCAGGTAAGTTGAAGTGATTCATAAAGGACTATTCCCAGGATGAATAATTGATGTTTTCGGGTCATCACATCTACTGTGATGCGGTAGTAATGCTGGCATACCATATAATGATAAAACGAATGTTTATCACAAAATTCTATAAAAAAGTCTTCTGTCAATTTTATGAAGTCACCGTCTTCGGATAATTGCCATTCAATTCATAGTATTATCCGAGAATAGCTTCCACAGAGAAGCGACAAAGACGGCCATTTTGTGTCCCTTTTCCGTAGACGCATGCGTCGACTTGGTTGTCTCCACGTCATTCTCGGGCTTAGTTGTCTCCATTAGTCTGTGAGCACTGAGCAAACATAATTAGGTAAGTAGTTAGTTACAAAAGGCACCTACCTAACTCGGTATACATTAAAATTATGCTATTTAAGCAAGAGTTTTCAGGAGATAATTAGTTTTGAAGAATCCATCGTGAGAGAAACAGTAGTTGTGTGTTTTTGAATCGACACTAGTGAAAATCTTCGAGTGAAATTCTACGAGTTAAACTAATATCAACATAAAACTAGATTTTGTGTGTATTTATAAGAAGTGAAAATCGAAATGCCTGGTTACTATTGTGTTTTCCAATATAGGTATGCATGTTGATGGCATTGCGAGGGACATGGGCTCTAACTTTTATGAATTGTCAAAGTTATTAGTGGTCACTTTAGAAAAATCTGAATTTGAGCTTGGTGGTAAAAAACTTGTTTATATTTTTGATCCAAGTCATTTGATAAAAGTCACTAGAAACATTTTTTCAAAACATTCATTTCATTCTGAAGGCAAAAGTACATCTTGGTCTTTTGTGCGCTCTTTTTATGAGCAAGACATAGGGCAATTTTATAGATTCGCACCAAATCTTAACGAATCAGAAATCATTCCAAACAACTTTGAAAAAATGAAAGTGAGTCTAGCAACACAAGTTCTAAGCCGTACAGTTGCCAGTGGAATGAATACATTCGTGGCAATGAACTTACTTCCTGCTTCTTCTTTTGGTGCAATACAAGAAATAGAGACATTCAATAAACATTTTGATTTGTTGAATTCGTGTTCTTTACGACATCCCTATAAATACAAAAACGTTTTCACGTAACTGTGTCGTCAGTGTCATACCAAGTTTCGTCCAAATAGAAAATTTGCCTATATTTAGTTATTTGTTCTAAATATTTGTTCTGCAATTCCACTATTCTTCTGTTTCCAAAACTGCTTGATGTTTGTTTATTATCTTAAATCTAAATCCTATTTTCTTTATCCAATTCTGAAGAGCTTTGTCACAGCAGCTCTCGTTATGGTCGGTAGTATTCAGTGTCTTCCTAATGATTTCAGTTGTAGGAATATCAGTGCTTTTGTAACAGTCGTATATTGTTTTTTCAATGATTTTATTAGATGAACATCTGAAGGTTTTGGTAATCCTGTATCACAGGATTTCACTTACAGTTGAGAAGAGAATTTCGGTCAAATCTGATGTTGCTTGTAATAGTTTGTTTCCCTCGACACCAAACTTGAGATGTAGATTCTCATATACATTGAAACATACTCTCTGTGTTTCAATATTCAAATGCATCCAAATCTTTTTCACTGGTATCTCTTTTTCGCATTGTTTACCATCGCTATTGGGATCATTACACTGGAAAAAGTCTGCGTTGTTATCACATTCGTTATTACTATTAGTACTTGTCCAAGGATGCCACATTTCAAACAGAACAAAAATTTTTGGTAATTATAACTGCACCAATATCGTATTTCAACACTCAAATCGCAATCAGTTCCTGAACTGAACACGACGGCGATAACCCTCCCCAAATTCCCCGATTTTTATTCGTCACCGTAACTTGACTTCAAATTCAATTTTATGACTCTTTAGTCAATCATAAAACTCGGTTAGTAAAAATTATCCAGTACGAACCGCCAAGTCCACAATCCAAGTGGACTAGTTCGCTGCCGGTTGATTTCTATGTATTGTTTTTTTTGGCCTTTGAGAGTGTCGCCAACTTTAGAGTGCACAATATCGTTTACTTCAACTATAAATGCAAGAAGAGCCGTTAGACTCCGCAGCTAATTCTTCCACAGTCACCTTGTGTTCTATTTTGCAAACTGACGAAGAAACCTTTCTTTATTGAATTTTCTAGATGTACTTCAGAAGATTACTTCTATAATTGATGAATATAATAAAGATCCTATTCGATTTTGGCTGGGACCGAATTTGTTGGTTGTCTTGAAAAATCCGATTCATCTTGAGGTGAGTTCTTCAAATAAACCACAAGAAATGGATATCATTGTTTTTTTTACAGAAAATCATGTCATCCTCCAAATTCGCTTATAAACACGAGCTTTACGAAATCTTCGAAGAATATGTTGGAGATGGTCTGATTAGTGCTTCAGGTGAGTTGAAATGATTTATAAACGACTTTTCCGAGGTTGAATAATTGATCTTTTTGAGGATACCAACGATGAAACGGATGAGTTTTTTTGATCATCTATACAAATTCTATACAAAAAGTCTTCTGCCAATTTTGTGAAGTCACCGTCTTCAAATAATTAGCATGATATTATTACGAAATATGTTTATGGTATCATTTATGTCCTAATTTTATAGACGTAATCAGGATATTTTGGAGAAAAGATCACAGGAATTGATGTAATTGATGTAGTTTGCTGCTCAAAGCTTCAAATATTTCCATTGATTCAGAATTGAACTGTTACTAGTTCTTGTTCTGATTTTTTTCATAAAAAATTTCAGGTCTAAAACCCAAATACAAAATACATAGAAGGATATTCCAACCCCTGTTCGATATAAAATTCATTTCCAGTATTCTCGGCATCATGAGGACACAAATGACAATTTGTATGGACAAACTGGAAGAACACGTTGACAAGGAAACTCTTGACATACATGATATGATATTTGCTTGTGCGGGAGACATTATTGGAGGTGAGAAATTTGAAGCAAGTTCCTCCATGTGGATGTAATGATTATGATTTTTTCTAGAAGCTATCTTGGGAATGGAAATGAATAATCAGCGAATTGGGCTTTCGCAGTTTTGTCGTTCCGTAGTAGAGTAAGTACTAATAGATTAAAAAATATACAAGATGGCTTTTTTGGGGTGGATGATATTACAAAATGCGTATATCAAAAGACGATCTGATAGTGTGATGAGATCCAAAACCTCATGAAGTAGTTGCGGCATATTTGATAAGAAAGTCATCTGTCTTTTATTTTGTTATTGTGGCTATTATTTTTTCAATTAGAAAAGATGCATTTCCGTATTAACCTGTACTTGTTTTATGGAATTTTATGGTAATTTCCATCATGCATCCGATCATGTGTCACACTACCATTTCATTCCATGACGACCATCATCATGGTTCGACCAGTCACTCAGGAATAAAATAGGAACCTGATTTGGAGACTTATTTCCTAAAAGCATTTCCTCATCATAAAATGAACTGAAAGAAAATTATGAATGGAAATAATAAGGAAACCCATGTGCGAGCTGTGCAATTCTCCCAAAGTATCAATCCTGAATTTGTCTGGTCAGATCCACCCGTAGCCCTACATCAGACACCACTGTTCAATATTTTCTTTTTCATGAAAACAACACTGCGATTTCAGGGTTTACCAGATACCTTGTAGTTGGGGACCGCTAAATTTTTGAACAACGAATAGAAGTGTAAAGACGCGGCTCTCTGAACACAAAAGGAATTGTCACTGGGGCTTCACCGATACTTAGAGCAGATATCCACGTTTTCGCGTCCGAAGAGGCCAAGAAGTACAGAAACAACAGTAAAATCAGGCTAACTCCACTTGAAGGATCTCCTAGTAGGTCAGTCAATCCAATAATTAGGAATAAAGCCACGTCCACCACTAATGGAATGATTTCAGAGATCCAATTCTGTAGAATCTGCTCCAAGGATAACCAGAAAACTCTGTCTGTTAACTTATCGCTATTCATAATTTCCACCGCAGTCGTAAAAGAAATGTCAAGCATGAAAACCTATAGGCTATGGCTAACAAATCTGGAAAATTGCTTTGACACAACATTTATTTCTCAACATGAACACTGTATAGTGTATCATGTTGTCTTCTAAAAGGGTTTAGGACTCTGATTTCATCTGCATCTGGTTTAGGTTTGCTAAGAATGGAAAGATACCCTCTTAGGTTGATGATGAAGAGTTTCTATAGTACTTATCACGTTTTTTGAATATATTGTATGAAAAACAAGGTTTTTATTTCATTGTTTCAGAATGCTAGAAATGGCATATGAGCGACTTGTGAAAGTATGGCTTCAATTTGACTTCATTTTCAACAGACTACCAATTAAAAAGAAATCCGATGAAGTGATTTTCGTGATTCACAACTTTGCTGAAGAGGTGAGTAGATCATATATGAGAATTGGAATGAATGACAATGGGGAGAATAATAACAAGACTATACATACATCTTGGAAATTGAAGTCCCCCTCGTTGTATTTCTGAACGCGACAAATTCAAAAACTACCGAATTGATTTTCATAGGGTTCTCACTAATATACTGGGTGATTCAAGAGAAACGTTCATGATGATGATAATAATAAGTGTGAGTTTATTCAGCTATACATTTAGTTGGATAGGCCGTGGTAGTCCGTTTATAGAGTGGCCATCAAGATCTCCAGACCTCACAGTTTTGGACATTTTTCTCTGGGGATTTCTCACACAAAAGGTTTACAAAAACCGCTCGAGAGATAGAAATGAACTTTGTGCAAGAATTCGACAGGTATGTGCAGATATTAGCCCTCAAGAACTAAGGAACGTAATCAGAAACATTCGTAAGCGCTACGACACATGTATCGAAATACGTGGTGGATATGTAGAGGCTACTAGAATATGAGTTAGAATTAATTGTTGGACTGAATCGAAACATTTCAATAATTAGTTATTAGTTACGTTTATTAAAATTTTTTGCTTCATTGTTAGTTGAATTGTGTCAATGTAATTCCGTTATTCTCATTAATAATATTTACGCTATTTGTTTTTTTTATCACCTGGCGGCACTTTATTGTTGATATCATAAGAAAATGATAGATTGTGACTGTTAACTCTGTGAGTTTTCGAATTTTTGAGTTGTCATAACTTTGTTGATAATGAATATTTAGAGAATGATTAAAAATATAATGCTACATGAATATTACTGGAATTTTATTCGAGAGGAAGATCCTCCTGAAGATGATCACTTGGTGATCAAAATACGTATTGAGGTGTTAGAAATAACGGTTTGGTGTTGAGATAAATTCCCAGTAATATCCATTACTATACCAAAGGTTCCAAACAGTGCATCAGAAGTATAATGGTACATGAATAATAATGACATCGATCATATTGTTAGATGTTTCCAAGAAACATATCGTTTGATTCGATACCTCTGAGTTAATTTGCATCTCAATTTTCAACACACCTAGTACTTTCGTGCTTATTTTTATCTACCCTTGCATGATGATACTAGACTTACTTTGCACAAAATCTTCCTTCGATATTTAATCGTTATATTGTTTTAGGCACTTATGGTTTCATTCGAAAGAAGAAACTCATCTGAAAGAGACGAGGCACGTTTTGTTCCAATCATAGACACAATTTCTAAATTTGCGGAAAGTAATCCAGATATTATCAATCACGAGGACTTAGTGAATCATCTGATAACTTTTTTCCCAGCCGTAAGTGTGATATCGATATCAGTGTTTGAATTGGCTATAGAAAAACTATTTCTATACACTTAATTGGGCCTAAATTGTGTCCCCTTTATGAACTTTTTCTATCCTAACATCAGACCTATGTAGCGCTCTTTTCGTAGTGGATTTTGATGTCATATATGCACGATAAATATCCCTATGATATAAATTTGTCCCAATTGATACAACTAACAATTTCAGTAAGAATTGGGTTACTTTGTCCTTCGATTAGGTATTTCCAGAATAAGACATGTTTACGTTATATCAACCTCAGTTTCACTTCTGGAGAGTTACTTAACTGGACGAACTCAAACTGTCAATTTGTATGGTGAAAAATCTTCTTCCTTAAGAAGATGGGATTCCACAAGGCTCTGTCTTGGGACCTCTACTCTTTGCTCTGTATATATTCGATTTCCATGAGTGCGTCAAAATACACCATTACGCGGATGACACTCAATTATACATGTCGTTCAGTTTCAGTGAAGTCATCAATGCCGAGAATACCATAAACAGAAACTTGAAATTTGAAGCTCAATTAAAAATATCGCAAGTGATGCTGTTTGGTTCCAAAGGAAAGAGAATATTCGTAGGCAACTCACTTACCATAATAATTAATAACAGTTCTATTCAATTCAATTGCAGAAAGAATTGTTTTGTTGTCGCGAAAGGATGATTGGCGTAATAAACATCTACTCCTCATTTCGAAACACAAAACCGCATTATACACACGTAGTTTTTCATACACTTCAACAAAACCATGAAATAGGTTACCACATGAACTCAAAGACCTCAGTTTGAGAAATTTCAAAAAACGTTTTGAAGTCGTCCTGCGAACAAGGTAATGTTGTCTTTATTATCTGATGACTCTTGCAATTATTTTGACACATGTACAAACCGACTTCAATTCTAACGATATGTAATTATTTGATTATCCAGCCACTTTACTCATTGATTTCATTACCTTTATTTTTTTCCACCTACTCCATGTATCTATTATGCTATACTTATACAGATATATTGATATTGAATGTTTTTGTGATCTTATAGATTAAGTGTGTACGACCAAGGTGGGTGTGAATTACCAATGTGGATATATTAGATGTAGATTAACAGTATGAGTTAGCATTATTGTCTTGATAATAGTCTGAAATTAGCAAAAATCAAGTACTTCTTTACGTTTCTATAACCATAATATACCCTCACAAAGAAGATGAACAAATAATTATCATTATATCAACCTTTTATGATTTCTTCAACATGAAGTTACAGGGCGATAGCAATAGCTGCTATTAGATATGCTCTCTATCCAACAAAATAATCTTTGCCACGCAGAATTTCTCTAATATTATTGTTTCTATTTTTTTTATGTATGAGTGTTTCTATACAGGATATATCTCATTTTTTTCAGTCAGCTGACACATCTACTATAATAACATCATTTGCTGCTGTCTGCTTTGGAATGTATCCAGAATATCAGGTATTCTATGTTCAATTACAAATCTAATGTTTGGAAATTTGTTCTCATTAATTTTCTAGGAGAAAGCTGCCCTGGAAGTTAGGTCTATAGTGGGTGATCAAATTTCAGAGATAACTTTGGATCAGATTTATAAAATGGAGTATTTGGATATGTGTATGAAAGACGTATTGAGATTATTTCCCATTGCACCTTATATTCTGAGAAGAACTGTTGAAGATTACGCTTTAGGTGAGAGTATTTCATTCATTCGTAGGTACATGAAATCATGAGAAAACACAAAGGACAAAACCCTCTTCGCACACACTAGGATTTGTACAATTTTCTCGACGCCTAGTACACTCACCGGCACAATAAACCTCCCACCTATATTAGTCGTCGCCCTGTATGTTTTATGTTTACTATGGCCTATCAATTGTTTTGTTTTTTGGGAAGTGGGTGCTCTAGTAAAAAATTAAACACTTATACCATTATTTCGTCTTCTAAATTTGTGTCACCGACGGGTGAAATTTAGTCGTTGTTTGACATTGTTGCAGTGGTGTTACTGTGTTATCATTTCCTGTTCTGTTTTGCTGAAGGTGCAAGTATTGTTTAATTTGAGTTCCCTTATTTTTTGTGACTGTGAAAAATGCCACTCGACGTAACTGATGTAGCCAGGGTAGTGGCTTTGGCTGATGCTGGGTACAGCCAACGTCGCATAGCTCATACTCTCGGTGTATTTAGAACCACGGTACGGGATGCGATCAGACGATTTCGGAAGACCCGCAGGCAAGGTCAAGGTCGACATCGATGTCCTTTTTCTCTTCGTCGTCAACAACGTGTTGAGAAATCGCCTTTTTGAGGTGAGAAATACCCGTATGAGTGAGCGTACCGTTAGAAGAAGCCTGGCAGAAATAATCTAAGGGCTTCTCGTTCAGCTCGTGCACCACAATTGCTCCCTCTACACCGTAGAGCTAGACTTGCTTTTGTACGAGAATACGCTGACTGGACAGTGGAGGAATGGAAGGACGTATTGTTTTCAGACGAGAGCAGAGTCGCCTTAAGAGGTCCACATAGACGTCAGCGTGTCTGTAGGCGCCACAATGAAAGATTTGCTCCGTGCGCTATAACAGAAACAGTGGGCTACCAGGGAGGTTCCTTAATGGTTTGGGGAGGTATCTTCTACAAGAACATTCAGGAATGTCTCAAGTCATTGTGAAACATCCAAGAACTGTCTCGAAATGTTCTGAAATGTGTGAATATTTTTCAGATAAGTGGATATTACCGAAAGGAACTGCCATAGTGGTACCCATTTTCAACTTGCATAGAGATACGGCACACTGGGAGAATCCAGAACACTTCCATCCCGACCATTTTCTTCCGGAAGCTGTGAAGAACAGGCATATATATGCCTATATGCCCTTCAGTGCAGGTCCACGAGGATGTATAGGTGAGCTCTTTATGAATAACCATTATAGGAAAATGTTAAAATACTTATGATGAAAACGAACACTGAATACTTCGGAAAAAGGTTGGTTGGGTAATAGGATCGATTTAAAAAAATTGTTTTCTTGCTGACACTTCGAATTTAATTGAATTCTTCTTCAGGGCTATAGCAGTAGTTTCTTCGTGTTGATAATATTACTATTTTAAAAACCATCAGTGATAGTAATATTATCA